ACCATAAAAGAGTAACAAGTATTTTTTTTAATTTGCTTTAATCAAAGCATAAGTGTATGACAGATAAGAAGCACGTGTGCGCGATATTTGGTGATAAAATGAACGACGTCTTGTGGTTATATTAAGGCAAAAAATGTACATTTTTATCCACTAAACAATTCATATAAGAAAGCAGTTTAATCTTAAAAGCTCATCAATAACCATTTTTATAGATCGAAAAGAGAAAGGCGTGATATTATATACGAATCAATTTTTACAATGAGGTTTCACGTGAAAATATAGCTACTATTACATGCGAACAATTACCTAATCTTCCTTACTCGAAAACCTGCTTTGCTTAGTAAAAAGGGACAGATTCAGTTGTCGAAATAGTTTGCCTCGTAATATAAATGTTATAAGGCCTTCTATATGTGTGCGCGCGAATCACAAGGTAAAAAATATCGGACTGAACGTTACATGACAACATAGGATGAGACCGATGTATATTTGAAGACAAGCTTCTTGGATATGGGCAGAAACATAGAAACCGTTATGTTAAAATAAAATCAGGAAAACTAACATCCTTCTCCCGCAGCTGCTGAACAAATAGTTCCTTAGTGTGATCCAGCATAAGCTGTGAAGACTCCAACTGAACCAATAGATCTTCATTTTTTGATCTAAGGCAGTTTATCTGAGGATACTATATGCACATTCTAGCTGCTTACCTCCGTCTTTTGGGTTTCAATAATTGATTCCAATTCATTTATGCGTGAACGTGCAAGAGATAACTCACTCGCAGGATCTGCCAGTGTAACCGTGAATGAAGCAAGAACATACCGTTTATTTCACGGGTCCCTTCTGCCAGAAGATCTTTTGTGATATTAGTTATTTGACCCTTAATAGAAGATAAACCTCCGAGCCAATCCATTTGATGTGCTGAAACCCGTCGACCAGCGCGGCAGTATTCTTTAATAATCAATGGATTTTAGATTTCGGATTTATTGGTTGATGGTGGAAGGCTTGAAGCCTATGTTAATCCTTTTCTAGTAATTTTCTGTGCCTGTCCATACCCTTCTTGAATTAATCAGTTGAGGTTGCAGACACCATTTCTCTTGGGAGTCGGTTCCAAGAGTTTATGACTCGATGTGAGAACCAGCACTACATAGCAATATGATTTCTCTTTGGCTTTTGAACTCTCCTGCTATGTCCTCTAAGATGTTTCGACTTGGTGGGAAGGAAAAGAGAAAATAGGTCAGGTCCGTAGTCATTATTTAAAATTTAAAACATTGTGATTAGATCTCCTCTCTGCCTACGGTATGACAGGGAGAAGAGATTTAAACTTTCTAATCTTTCCTCGAATGATAAGTTAGTCATGCCAAGAACCATACGTGTTGCCTTCCTTTGGACCCTTCCTGGAATGTGTGAGTCCCCTTTAAGAGAAGGACTGGCTGCCTGGACACAGTTTTCCAGTCTTGACCTCACCAGAGATATATATAAGAAGGTGAACATATATCTGGTGATTCTAATAAGGGCTCTGTGAATTGCCCATAGGGATCTGAAACTACGTGCAGGCACGACAGTGTGCTGTAGTTTTTAAATCGTGGCTAACTGTGACACCTAAATCCAAATGAGTCTGAAATGATGGGATTGTTATTCCATCTAGTTCGATGGAGCTGATGCTCGTGTGTCCAATGCGCATGGTTCCACATTTCGCTACATTGATCGGGAGCATCCATTGTCTGGAACACCCTGACGATTTGTTGAGGTCCTTTGCAACGTGAGCGTATCACTTTCGCCCTTCAGCTGTCTCCAAATTTTTAAGTCATCTGCGTATGGGACCATAGGGGAATCGGTGAGCATAGATAACGAAATAAATAGTAGAGGTCCTAGTACTGTGCCTTGTGGCACTCCACTACGCACTGTTACCCAGGAGGAGAATTTCGAGTTGATCCTAACTCTCCTTCTCCTATCTATGAGGAATTCTTTGAGCCAGTTTAGCAATCTGCCTTTGATACCAAGACTTTCCAACTTCATCTGTAGTCTTTTGTGAAGGACATAATCGAAGGCCTTGTTGAAGTCTATGAAGACGACATCAACGGGTCTTCTGTTGTCCCCTGATTTGACCCAGCTTTCTCTCACAGTTAGGAGATTTGACAGGCATGATAGATTTTCTCGGAAGCCATGTTGTGCTCTGGATAGCAAGTTGTTGTTTTCCAGACATTCCATGATACTTTCATTGATGATTGTTTCCAGTATCTTGACTAATGTGTTGGTAAGACCAATAAGCCTGTAGTTTGAGGGGATGTCTCAGTGCTCTTTTGTGGATAGAGGTTACTATGGCGTTTTTCCAATAACGCGGTAGCACTCCATTTGGGAGAAATGGTTTGAAGATTGTGGTCAGTGTGAGGTGATGGCTCTCTGAGAGGCCTCGGATAAAGATTATCAGTACACATTGATTTCGCTGCCTTTAGTTTCCCGAGGAAGTTGAGCACGATGTTTTGATCGACGTCAACGAAGTCTATCCTGCGTTCCTCTGAAGAAGCCAGAGCTGATCCTGTGGGTAGTGACGGATCCTGTGCAAACACTTGAGAGAAATGGTCTTCCATTTCTTCCGCATTTTCCTGAGCTTCGATTTTGTCAGTATCAACAGTCAGGTTTGGGAAACCACTGAATGTCTTATTTCTGAAGCTCATGAACGAGAAATTTTTTCTTGGGTTGTGTTGTCGCATTTTGAGGAAGATGTGCTTCGAAATTCATCCTTGATTGACGGATTTCTGCAATAGCCTTATTCCTGGCAGTGTTGTATAATTTCCTGGTCTCAGGAGTCTCAACTGTGGCAAACAGTTTCCAGCATTTGTCTTTACGTCTGAACAACTTAGGAATCTCTTGGTTTATCCAAGGAGGTAGTGTTTCCGATTCTTTGGGACAGACCAAAGGATGAAATGCTCGGTTACTCGGGCGTCAATTTGTTTAAAATGGTTCTGTGTGGCTTCTACTTGGATTTATGTACCAGTTCACTCAATTGGCTGCCGAGAGGATCGCAATTATATTAGCTTTCCAAATGTTTGGTCAAGCTGGGGTTTCGCCTCGTGATACTACTGCTATGAAGGTAAGCACAGCGTGATCACTTCTCCTTAAGGAAGAAGACGTATAAGATCCACATCCCCAGCATGGGAGAACACTAAGTTCAGAGTTAAAGATGAGTGATGTGATTCATAGCGCTTTTGCCTCATGAGGTGCTGGACTAGGGCTAGCGAAATGCTAGATTCCAGCAGTTTAAAATCAAAGAATTTATCTGAAGATGGTGTCGTAAGGCTTTTCCAGTCAACTGTTGGAGCATTAAAGTCGCCTACCACTATACTTCGACATTTCTATGCCCAGGAGCCTAGCTTCTTCATCAGGAAGTCGTCTGCACTGCATTCAAGACTGCAGTATATGGCAGTGAGGTCAATATCTTGGCCTACGTATTTAAGTCTGCAGCGTAGAAGTTCGCATGATTCCTTTCTTGAATGAGTGTTTCGATGCTACGCACGGTAAAAAATTTATTTGGATAGATGACTATGCCACCCCCTTCGTGGCTTGGTTTCTTCCCGCCATGCAGTGCGAAGTTTGGCAGGTTAACTTCGTTATCAGTGACATCGAGTGTGACCCATGTCTCTGTGATGATAATTACAACCGGGTTTTCGAAATCTACCACATTACCCAGTTCAGTCAGTTTGTTTAACAGGCTGAAGGAAATTATGCGGCAAACTATCAGCTGAATTTGGTGCTTCCACGGCCTAATCATAGAGGTTTCGAGATCACCACACTTCGAACTTTGCCTAATTCTAGAGCCGCAGACTGTCTTTTAACTCGTTCTGAACGGACGTACATGCCTGAACCTTTGAGTTTACAAGATGGTTAGAAGGGGATCCCTCTCTTCTTTAGACATTAGTTCGACTTTGAGAAGGGATATCGGTTGATTTGCTGTAGAGTCAGGCTTTTGGCCTATTCTATACAAGCTGCGTATTGTTACATGTGATAGTGTTGTTGGTTTATCTAAGAGGGGGTTCAAAAATTAAAGGTCGTGATCTAATATGGCCTTGGGATCGGAAGCCGGTGATTCTTCCACTTTGTGGATGATGAGCAACCTGTGGGAGAGAACAGGTTTGCTTGCGGTGGCTTTCTTGTTCTGCGGCGGAAGTGTCTTTCCATCCTACTTGGAAAGTGTGGCCTATGTGATATCCTTATTTCGCTTTTTGAGGGAGACTACATTATATCATTCATTGTCTCCCTCCTCGCTATCTGTAGTCGATTGTGTCTGCTGCTACCCACTCATGTGGATGAGGCTTGATCCACACGTCCCTGGGTGAATTTATCTGCGGGTTTTCGACCCCTAGTAGCCTTCTCTTCGTGTCGGCTCTCTTATTGTTGCCACTGGAGGGCTTATCCGGTATCATAGAGGCAGCATGGATGTTAGGAATATGGTGGTCTCCCTTCTCTTCTGTGTACGTGCTATGAAACCATCTCTTGCAATTATCACATTGCATTCTTCCTTCAAATGGAAATTGGCACATAACTCTTAAGTGGCGTTTCCTGTAGACAGGCATACTTTTCAGATTGAATTGGGACTGAAAGATTCAAATATGACCTACTTTATGTGACTTTTATTTAGATCAGTGATAAAAAACCAATGAGTGTACAAAAATGAATATAAGTAACTGTAAAGTTATAAGAACACACTTCCTATAAAAGTAAACCAACTTCGATCAGAATAAAATGATTTTAAGTTAATTTATAGACTTTTGGCGCGTACAACACAACGAATGCCGAAAGTGAACGACAGAGTATAAAATTCACTCCCTTTTTAAAGTCCGTTCTGAGGATATAATTATTTCAGTGCCCATGATCCGCCATGAGGAGTAATAAGAGGGCTGAGAAAAACACCAGCCACCATAGCGCAGCAGATAATTGCAAGTAATGTTGTCTGTGCCCTGGTGAACTAATTGGTAAATGATGGCTTTCAGGAGTCAGAGCGCATTATGATAAGGAGAAGTGGCTCTACTGCAGAAGTTCTGTCTGATAGTAATATGTTGGAGCTATATGGCATACACGAAACAAGCGGAATTTGTTATGCTATTCATGACCATCGAAGACATACAGTTTACAATCTATACTTAAGAGGTGATCGTTGGTTTAATCCTGTTGCCTTTCGCAGTATGTTGCGCCCCAGAGAATATAAACCCACGTCCAGCATTCTAAAGTAATATATCAGATTTTCCAAATATCATTTAAAGGATATGGTTATTTGGCAGACTTGGAGAAATGTGAAAATAATATTAAAAATCACTGCAACCCTAACATAAATTTCTGTCCAGTTGCATTTGTCATCCTTCTAGCCACCATAGCGAATTGTTAGAGGGTGTTGACGTCCATGGATTGTACGACATGTAATAACGCATTATCTAATACCCACAACCTCTGAAGTACTGGTTCCTCGTAGAACAAAGACAAGACAAAACACCAAATTGGTAGTCCGAAATATATTTCTGGTCCAAATCGCTATGCAATGATAACTGCTTAACTATATGGGGATCACACAAGAACGGACGAACGTAACACAGCGGCATGCCCAAATGCGTGGATACTCGACTGCGAGCATTCGGCTATACAAGTCAAATTAGTGAGGTCCAAAATCCAGTTGTGAGTGATGAACGCTTTGGATAATTGTTCTGGTGAATTATCTACTGCTACACTTCTAATCATTTTCATTGTTTATAGTTAAAGTTCAACTTTTGTCACACTAGAGGTTTCACTGAAAAAGATTTGTGTTCTTAATCATGAAGATACCTTGAATTTTCGTTTGTGATTATGCTATCATATCAGTATCGTAAGAAGTTCAGTAATGAATTGATAACTATGGAGTACTTTTTCTCATGACAGTTTATTCATTTTTAAAATGAACTGTCAGAAGAGATAGTGCGTGCACATTTCATCGTCTTACTTTAGATATTAGTGTGATGCCACAAATATTTAACAAGAAACAGTTAGCTCTTCACTATTCAGTGTTAGATGTGATGTCTGAAACTTTTGAGAAACCTTCAATGCGGCAGTTTTGAAAGGTTGCGTTACGTAAGTTAGAAAACTAAGAGTTTGTTCGTCGTATACGCCACAGACTTGAGTCCTTCTTTTCAGTCTTTAGTACTACATATAATAATGGATCTATTTTCATCTACTGCATATGGTGGTTATTGCGTGAATAGAGTGCCTGAGTGTTTAGGAATTATCTCATGGTTCCTTATATTCCTAAATAATCTGCACATAAATACATGAATTTAATCGACACCTATTAATTTGTCCTCTGTTCTTATAATAGACGCACTGCCTATTCAGACAGTGACCATTCTGTTAAAATTAAAGAACTAGTATATTGTATTTTTATTCCTCACGAATCATGGAAGACACTTTTGTCGTTAAGTAATTTCAGTAGTCCCGCCAGTTGCTCTCAGTATTGTCCCACGTTGCTCTATGTTTTTGGACGTATCGGGCTGACACAGTAGATTCTGATTATCACGTGTCAAGTGTGAGGAATAGAAGTTACCGGAGATCAGTCTTTTGTTAGTCGCCCTGTTGCCGTGAGGCATTGTTTTCCACGCTCTTAATTACACTTATCCTATTTCATCGTCTATATTGGGTCCTGAAGAGGCCAGTAAAGGCAGTTTCAGGGGAAAATAATGATTACGTTCTGCTGAAATAAGGATGACTTTATTCATTTGACGAATTTATCTACTGTCATAGTGAGATTGTCTGACCCGGTCCTTGGTCTATTATATTAATTTTGGCCTTAGCATTTGCTCTCTGATCAGTATACCTTATATATCTGCTCAACTGATAACTTTGCATATTGTGGTTCAAATTATTTTCATATCCTGAATACACTAATTTACTGTGTATTCATGGTGTAGTTATATCTTGAGAAGGATAAAGTTCTTTCGCTAGCATATCCCGTGGCTTTTTAAAGCAGTTAGTTCTCGCGTTTCGTACAATTTGGTTTGTGTCTGGTTTAATTTGTCCACAAATAGGCATCACTTTAATACCCATACCTTTTACTTCACTGTAACTTTATAATCTAGCAGTCGTGAGTGCATAGTACTGAAAGTTTCAAGAATGGGAAAATAATGTTTCATATTATTAAAAATGGGGCTATTACACTTTCGTATATGTAAATAAATCACCTTTAGTGTAATTTAAAAAATATATTCGCAATCGTGTGGCTAAAAATCCACGTCTCTATGGATTCTGAATTGTTTTCTTCGTGTATGCTCTTACTACCTGCGTTTTTAGCCTCAATGAGTGACTTCTTTTTTGGGGTGTAGATATGTAAATCAGTTGGCCCCACCCTAGCAGTGAATTCATTTGAAGATATCAAATGCATTTAGGGCTTGTCGGCTTTAGCACGAATCGTGGGTTCGAATCCCGCTTTATCCACTCCACCCTAGGTAGTATGATTCGTCATCACAATGTGTGGCCCATATAGTGATATACATATATGTTTGGTGCATCTGAGTTCTAGTTATATGTAAGAAAATGTGGTTGATATAAATATCTCTAAAGCTTTTTCATCACTACTGTCTAAATGATTACCCAGTAATTAGTCTATCTCGATAATCCTAAGTAGAGGGAATAAAACAGTTGACTGCTGCTTATCCCACGAAAATCTTCCCATCCATCTATAGTCACTGTATAAAGATGCTAATAACTAGATTCATCCTCATTAGTGTGTGCGATGTGTTAGTTTGGCGAATATTTTCGAAAGGCAATTTCCTTAATTGAAATGAAGTTAACTGTAGTTTCTCATATTGAAGTAGTTTTGTTACCACTGATCCATCAAAATGTTAATAGTTTGAACTTTAAATTCAGATGTAAAAATGGAGATAATGTATCCCAAACCATTTTAATTAACATAATGTGAAGTGGTTTCAGTAATGTAAACCGATACTGGAGATTTTACTCAGTAGTGCAGGTGGTTGGTTTTAAAATATTTGGTCAGATTAAATAAACTTGATATCATTACTCTTCCATTGGTGATATGGCTCCGTCAGTTGCATGTGCACATATGTAATTACTGATTTGTATTTAAAGTAGGTTATAGTTGCCATTTCTAGTTACTAGGTAAATTTGATTAGGAGTTCATAAACAGAAAACCCAAATAAACTTTATGAAAATCTTTGAACTTAAATTTGTTGCAATTTTCTTTGCAGACTATAGATTTGCTTAAATAACACACGCAGGGATAAGGAGGTGTAAGGTCTTTAAAACTGTAGAAATAGATTATTATTATTTTTATTATCATAATGCCACCCAGTTGCACGTTACAGAGATTTTTTGATCTAAACTGTAAGCCACTTTTGGTATTTGCCAGTTTATAGTGTTCCCAGTTATCGATTTCGATGAAAATGCGGCATATTTTGAACAGGGGGCTTGGTGACTGTAAGTTATCTGCTAAAGTTAATGTGGCATGTCACATCTATCGTCTGCTAGGTATAAATTGATATCGTGATTGAAGGTTTTTACTGCCAGTGTTGCTTCACCTACCGTTTCTTATCAGCTACTTTGAACAATTTAAAACGGACTTATTGTATATAATATGAATACATATTTTTTACGAGTTGATCACGGACTGATATCAGTTAGAGAACCATTGAAAACCAGGGAGTACTGGACAGCTGCTGTTTCATCCTAGTTTGAGAATCATCGGCAGTACGCACCCACTATAGAAAATAAATACATATACATGTATTATTCCCTTGAGTTCCGAGTGGAAAATAGGGCTTCAACAACACATCTCCACTTTCTTCTATTCTCTTCTATCCTCTTCAGCTGGGTCCACGATTTCCCATAATCTCTCATCTCGTCCTCGCACGATCTCCTCCGTGTCACCCTCACACGGACGACCCACTCGTCGCCCCCCCATTTAAATTCCACTCGAGCAGTGACCTGCATTGGGCGCGATGTCATTCGACGGTTTCCTCAATGTATGCCCGATCCATCTCCACTTTCTCCTACATATTTGTCAATCGATCTGCTCTCACCTTTTCGTTTGTTCCCAGAGTTTCGGTTGCTAACTCTTTCTGACCGGCCATTTGATCTTTACTATAGAACCAGCGAAGTTCGCAGCTGTCGATGAAGGTCCTCAACCTGTTGGAAATCCATCCTGTGACACAGAGCAAGTTTATGACGCGTATAGAATGACCGACTTGACATCGGTGTTGAAAATGCAAATATCGTTCCTTATGCTGAGTGTAAAAGATTTTCAAACCGATTTCAGATTGATGATTGTGTACCTCGCCTTTCCAATTCTGACTTTGTCATCTTCATCCGTGTTTTCACCTGTAGTTGAAACGGTGCTTCCGAGATAAGTGAGGGCAGGAAGTAACCTGTGTTAAATCTCTCCCTTTGGTAGCGATTGGTGCTGCTTGTTACTATCGGACTTGCTGCAGTTTCTTAATTAACCCAAACATTTTGAATATATTTTGTATTGCTGTATATTCCTCTGATTCAAAGAAGTTATCTGAACCCTTCATGCTCTCAATTTGTTAAAAATTTCCTTCTAAATAAATAGAAGTAGTTGTCGTAAATGAAGTATTTGCATTTCACCTCAAACAGCGGATGGCTACGTACTAAGTAACTTTTTTACTCTGCTTGATTTTTCGCGTTTGTTACTGCTAAAGTAATTATCATGGGGTTTCACCTTAGCAGAAGCAAGCTTCTTCTCAGTGTTCTGATACATCATGTCAATGTTTTTAACATCAACTCAGTTTTGGTCACCAGTCATAAGATTTTTAATAATTATCATTTGTAAACAGAAGTAAAGATCAGAGAAACCTTTTGCATTGGTTCAATAAACGTTGTATGATAACTATTAGGTTAATTCTTTGATTGGATGCTGGACAGTAAGTAGTTAATGTCATGCGTCTAGTTCTTAGTGTTAGTGTGGAGTGCATTCTATCATTTCATTATATAGTTCAAAAAAGTAAGTAATTTTCGAGTATTGGTTTGTAGGGACTTGACTGATTGGTTATAGGATTTCATCATGAGCTGACATCGGTTAGAGAACCAGTGGAACCATTAAATCTAGCCAGATCATCTAGCTAAAATCTTGCGTAAAATAGTCTAGGAAAAAAACCTAGTCATTGTTAAGACATCATGACGTAAAACTGCACAAATGACTGAAGAGAGTAGTGTCCCTTATGATTAAAACCCCAAACAGGTGAAAGAGGTAGATTGCCAAATATAACCTGCACCACATTGCTTCTGAAAGTGTGTGTTGTATGTATTCTCACAGCATAGAAAGTGCATCTTTTTCTAAATGTATACAAAAATAGATTTCAAATAAATTATAATTATATTTCAATAGATTCCAGAAAATGATAAGTTTTTGTTTTGATAATATTTCTAGTAAAATTAATACTTGTGATCATTGTGTGTAAATTATTGAAATATATAATGTTGATTTGTTTGATCTATTCCATAACGCCTAAACTTTTTATTGATATTAAAATAGATTTCATTTATGTCTAACTTTATTTAATCAAATTTGAATTTACTTGAAAACATTCTCGTTTGTTTTACTTAGATTATGGATTATACCTCTACAATGGGTGCAACGAACTACAATGGATTGGACAATAAAGATGAAATTTTATCTACATTAGAGAAATTATCTAAGAGTGAACTCGAAGCTCTGTTATCTGATTATGAAGGAATTAAAAAGCTGGCTAAGAATAGTCCAGAGGTAAAAAGCTAATTACATATTCTTTACCAAGGGTATATATATACGTTCTATTTATTAGATTAGAAAAATTGAAGCTGACAAAGAAGTATGTATGAACGAAAACAGGCGTCAAGCTGAGGCGAATCTCGCTTTAGAGCCAACATTTAACATGAAGAAAACTGAACTAGTTGAAACTTATGCCACTTATAGGCAACTAGAAATTCAATATATGAAGGTTAAATCAGAAGTTGGTAAGTTTTGGCTAATTTCATTCAGCTTCTAATGTTCACTATTATTTTCATTCAAGATAGTATCGGTGCAAAATATTCTCCTAGTGTAATTCTTGCCCTGCTACAAACGGCTAATGCAGAGTCTGAAGAACAATCAGAAGTAATAGTAGACCTTTTTTTAAAATTCTCTTAATTCATTTTTTTTATTATTATCTAGGAATTAGCCAATCGGTTTCTTGACAAGTCAATGGATGTTGACACATTCTTGAAAGAATTTATCCCCCTGCGTAAATTGTGTAATGAACGCAGGTTTAAGTGTGAAAAATTATCTGAACAGATATCAACTGGTCATATAAGTGAACCGAACTTGCCTAGTACTAATCATATGTCTTATCTACCTAATATGATGAAAATGATGAATACAGACTCTTCAGGTAGTACATCACAACTTTATCCTTCTCTGTTGTCCTTAAGTAATAGTAATAATAATAGTAGTAATAACTATAATACAGCATCATCTTATGGATTTAATATATAGATATGTTTACACTTATATTTGTTTACCTGTTTCCAGTTTTGATGGCATCTTTCTTCTTTCCTCACCAATCAACCTTACTTGATAATGATTGACTGACTGACTGACTGACCGTCTTTTCCGTCAGCACGTTAGGGTCAACGATACTGTTGTTATATAACGACTGTCTTTACTGTTCAGATGGTGTTCGCTTTTTTGTTTTTAATTTGCTCTTATTACAGAAATAGCCAAAAAGCTTGAAAGTGTTATAAACAAGGTTTTCCTTCTCCTTTCATCTTCTAGTTATTCAGTCTTCTTTCTTTTATCCACACTGTATTTAGGTCCACATATTGTAAAAACAATCAAATGGTTGAACAGTTTAGTTAATCTTTTCTTTTTCTTCCTTAGTTGCTATCCCATAATTTCAGAGATACCATCAAATTTTTGTATATCTTTAATAACCAGCCGCTTAACAGCAGTTTACAATCTTATCCAGTTTAAGTAAACTTTTAATAATTAATTTGAGGACAAACCTTATTTTTGTCTACCAAGAACTGAGATTATCTGAAGCCGTCGATAGGGGAATTTTTCGAATTCGAGAACAAAATGGTCAACCAACCAGCTTTCAAATCTAACAAAGAACCTAATAAATATATAAATATATATTTGTACAATTTTGATGATATATAGTTACAAAATTTATTTTAATTTCTATGATTTTATTTTGTTCCAATAATTATGTGCGGAACAATTTAATATTGTTGTGTACATTTTTTAAAATTCCCCTGAGAAGTGTCAACAAGAGTTCTGATCTGCCTGTGTATTTCTGAATTTAGATAATTTATTTACGCCTTTTTTGTGTGGTTTTCTTTTTCGTTTTTTTGCTGTTTAACGTTGTGTTAGGTTTGGATAAAGATTTTACGACAAAAAATAATCACAAAGAGAAGTTTGTAAATAATGTTACCATTTGAGGAATTTTTCATTTTATATTTGAAGTTAGCAGTGTTCAGACTACACATTTGATGAGCCTGTTTTTATTATGTAGTCACTTGAGAGTTTCATCTTGCGAAATACATCACTTCTAAGTATGCATGATATTCACTCGTAAACAGCTGAAAATGACATCAGAATGACTGATGAAAGAGAAGTTTATAAGATGTCAAATATTAAAAAGAGGTCTAATAATGAGGTTTTCGTCAAAGCAGACGTGTAAAAGTTTGTGGAAGTAAACATGGTTAGGTTAGTGATGATTACTAAGCATTGAATTAACATTTCGTTGAGAAGCCCGATGGCTTTTGCTTTGGGGCGTCAGTCAAAGAATTAATTCGCCTGTTTTTTGGTTATGTATTTTTCTTTGATAATTTGACTGTACATATATCTGTATTTTCTTGTGTTCCCAGATGGTTGGAAATTTTGATGACTATTTTTCTCAGGAAAGCTATTCTTTTTTGTCTTGGTGTTTTCTACTTGGCTTTTAGATTGTATCTGTTGATAAGCGTACTGTTTTGAGTACTTTTTCAAGTTTGGTTGTCAAGAAACCAGTTAGTATATCCAGTTACGGTAGTGGTTAATTAAGATTATTTGCAGTATATATTAGTCTGCTGAGAAAATCTGTCATTTTATATCCTCTCGGACAATCTATTAGTGATCTGTTTGTAACGCTTTCTGACAGAAGATGTTGGTGCCATTTTCTCGTCTGGCCACTCTTCACTTCTGTCCAATGTACTCCTATAATAGCTAACCCTACTCGTCGTCGGTGGCTTGCCATGAGTAACACATATCCGACCTGTTAAGATCGATTGAGTTTTCATATCCTCACTGACTGACTTTCCGTCCTTACTTAACACTCTAGACTTAACCCAATTATTGCTGACCGTATTGATCCACTTAACGCGAGAGGCTGAACACAAACATCAATTGTCAAAAACAACTAATGCCTTCCACTTTTACCGGCTACATTTCCTGACTGTAAGGTAGAAAAGAGTGATGGATAGCCGACGCCCAAGGTGACGCGATTTGTCTGGACTCAATCCATTAGGACACAGTGTGAAGATTCTATATAAACTTAATATAAGATGTACAGGGAGTAGATTTCGTAATCAAGGGACACATCGACATAGATTTAAACCAGTAACCACCAATAAAAGCAAAAAACATCTACAAGAGCGAGGATCAGGCCGCCAAAGTAATAATTTGGCGTGTATACACAAGTAGTGATAATACAGATAAGGGTGAACTAATTATCTGTTATGCAGTTAGGCAAACAGGTTTACCATGTACACGGTAATTATATGTATGATAAATCGGAGGCATATAACAGAAATTATGAAAGTTAAGCTTAGGTCACTGGACAAAATATTCTGTTGTGTTTTATCTTTGTTCCAGTAGTTTCTGACATTAAATCCAAATTAATAGTACATGATAATTATTTCTTATTTAAAGTCCGACCATGGATTGATATCATTTCACAAGTCAGAGAGTACTGGATAACTTTTTGTCCTTGTTTGGGACTCATTAGAAGTACACACCCACCGAGTTTGAGCCCAGAGGCTCCCGGTTACAAGACAAGCTCGTAGACCATTCAGCCACTGGGATCTGACTCAATGACCCATGAATTCTAGATTCTACCAATTCGTGATTTTAACGCAAATACCACTCTATTTTATCGGCGAGCCCAACCGGATGGTGCACCCCACTGGTCACGACCTCTCACTAGAACTCTAGATAACTTCGTCCTGTAGTCAGTCACTGGCGAGGGTCTGATTAATTTTCGAGAGTTAGTTTATAGGGGTTTGATTTGTTTCAAGTCTGACCATGGATTGATCGTCAGTTGGAGAACCATGTTAACCCAGTGGGTGCGTAATGCCAATGGGTTCCAGACAAGGACAAAGCAACTGTCCAGCACACTGGGATTTTCAATGGTTCTTTTACTGATAAAGATCCGTAGTCGAACTTGAGACCAATCAAATCACTACAAGCTAACTCTTGAAGATTGATTTTTATTTTAACTGGGCATGTTTTACTAGAAATACAACAACTTCTCTTAGTAGCAGAAAATAATTTTCAAAGAATGCATTGTTCTAAAATTAAAATCGGTAATGAAGTGTAGGTTTACCAATAATTTATGTCTGAATTATAAAAATACATGTTATTGTTTTGATGTTTTTATAATAATAAGCAGCACAATGTATGCATGTGTAGCCCACGTCACATAAAAAAGAATTCTTTTCAAAAAGAAAAATATTTTAACACAATATTTGATGCGAGGCTGAAAATGAGTTTAACGGTTATGAAAATTCCTCATCATTTATTTTCTATGTGGTGACATGCACTCATATTCTATAAATAGATGCATTTAAAAAAAATAAGGATTTTATCAGTAATGAAGCGATTGTTGTTACATGAGTCAACTACCTATTAGACACTAGTTAGTTACTAGTGCACTGTGTCTAGTCCTTTGTTTGGTGCAAACTGAATTCTATCAGTCAAGTTTGCTATGTGGCCACCATTCTAAGTGGCTCGTCATCACGGTGCACTTTGAATTGTTGATATTAGATGGTTGGAGGCAGTCGGCAGGAAGCCTTGGGGACTTAGGTTTCGTGATAGTTGGCACACGTCAGCAGCAATTCAAAGGGCACCGTGACGTTGAGCCACTTGGCTTGCTGATAGCCACATTGCAAAATTGACTGATACAATTCAGTCTGCACCAAACAAAGGACTAGACACATTACACTAGTTACTAACTAGTGTCCGGTCAGATGTATCCAATACAGTCCTACAGGAGGTCAATCGCGAGCCCGAATAGCTCAGTGGTAAAGTCTCTGACTAGAGCACTGGTTTGAATCTCAGGAGGGACATGATTTCCTTCATGTTTGCGGATACGCCTTGCTGACTAGTGAGTGCCAACGAACACGAAACCTAGGTCGAAGGTTTCCTGCTGACTGCTTCCAACAAACTAATATCAACTATTCAATGAGTAAACTAATTAATAACAGGAATCTTGGAATTAGATGTCTATCACATTACTATTAGACTAATAATTTAGGATGGATATTATAGAATTATCTTCATTAAAAATATGATCGGCAAGTCTATCCAAAAATGGATTTTCTCCATGAATCGACATCAACTTGAAAATCGTTAAGTACCTAGGAGTAACGCATAGCTGTTTTGTTCTAGTTTCGAACTCTTCCGTAGAGCAGACATATGAGCTCAGAACAATCAGTTTTCAGAAGTGTCACATCTCTCGATGTTCAACAGTTGACGTAGGGTAGCATGCTTCCTAATTTCTGTTACTTCGTAGTTCATTACTATTTCTATGTGCCTTCATAGATGAATATCATTCTTTGCTCCGTGCAAGTAATGTTTTCCCATCAGAGTTACATTTTAAATCTCATCACATTTTCTTAGTGGAATGATATTTATCTGGTTAGATTTGTGAATATGCAGCCGAAATCAAAGTAGAGTTCGTCATGTAGTTGGAGATCGTAGGCCATTGTTTAAGGAATGACCTATTGGTTGGATTGTTATGTGATTAAAACTTGATGCTCCTCAACTTTATCATGTATGATGCTTTATGTGCGCACTTCTGAAGTGTTCGAAAACAGAACGAGAGGACTCTCAATTGTTACTCGATATTCAGTAGTTTTTCATCTAACTGCAACCGGTTCGGGTGGGAAACTGTCTCTAAATCAAATAAAAATCCTCATGAATATGCTAACGAATCAAAGTTTGATCTAGGCTACAAAAGTGGCAGTGACAATAATTTATTTAAATATATGTCATGAATATAACCTCCACTTCATGTTGATGATGAAGTCATGTATATACTTAATACTAATAATTGTTCTATCGATTTCTCTATCGAAACCGATACCATTAGATTGAAGTCGTACAACACAAAAGCCTAACTTGCATATTCCCCTTGAAATGTCACATGCAGAACGCTTTCTTTCTTAATCTAATAGGGTGTTAAATGTAAGGCGACGTCGGAGAATTAACGTGTAAGGAGAGGTAGTGAAAAGGTCAAGTTAAATGCGTTGACTATTTCGCTCAGGCTTGGTGAAATGATTACTGACAAAAATCTCAGCAAAAAATACAAAAATGACAAGCTGAACATCTTCATTTTTCACTACAGCATATTGTTGACTGTTCAGGTGTATCATTCTTTGAATTTCTTCTGAGTGAAACTATGATTCACACTGGTGAGTACATAAAGTTAAGCTCACATTCGTTGGAGATTTGTTTAACTTAAAAGCCTTAGGTAAGTTAACTCTTTGACATAAGAAAAAGACGTAAACAGCGATGGAAATTTTCTTTTCGATCGTAATTATATTTAAAAAAGAGATCATAAGTCCAATGGGATACTAGTAAAATTTTTCCCCGAAAAACGTATGATGTAATGTAAGGTGTAACCTCCATGGGGTGACTTACTGGAAGTTAGAAAAGGGGATAGAAGTTGGCATGACGTAATAGGTGTGAGAAAATGATTAGTCAACATGATTGTGTAAAATGGACAGGAACTAGTGGAAAGACGATAAGGTGTTTCTATAGAAAATCTGTATGAAAACGCAATGTTGTTAATAAACAGTAATAGAATGATAATAAAATAATAATAATAGTAAACTTACATAATAATAAGAAGCAAAATTATAGTAAGAACTTTACTCTGGTGACGGTAGGGCGAGTGAATGTATGCAGTGCTTTTGAATGTACACGTCCGGTTTCAGATCCCGAATAGCCAATCATTCAGCTATGTACAGATGGCGTGTAGCACTGTGAAGCATTCATGAGGGAGTGCTCGATGTCCAGAGTTGACAAGGTGTTCGAAGATGGAGCTGCTAATATTCTTCTTTTCTCCTCTGGCTAACCAAGTTGGACAATGTCATTTTCTCACACTTATTACGTCATGCCAACTTCTACCCCCTTTTCTAACTTCTAATTAATCAACCCCTTCTAGGTTACACCTTATATTACGTAATATGCCTTTCGAGGACAAATCTTACTAGTATCTTATTGGTTTTGTGATTTCTTTGTTAAACATAATTACGATTGTACAGCTCATGAAAGAGAATCGTCGAAAAGAAAATCTTCATCGGTGTTTACGTCTTTTTCTTATGACTCAATATGGGAATATTTCATTCATTTTTGACGTACGTCATTTAAAGACAGTCTCAACTATTGTATAATAAGAAATCTGTTCATTCTTTCGGAAGTTTTATAAGAATAAGCATATGCATCAGACTTGAAATTGAATCAGACAAGATCATGTATTTCAACTTTACTGGAGGAATATTTAAAAAACACTTACAGGAATAAATGCTTCCAATAATATTAATAATGATAAGAAAGACAATATACTGAACACAGCTTCTCTTTTGTACAAATATACATTTACAGAGAAAAAGAAATGCTGTTCAATGAAAATTATTTTCTTTTTCAAAAAAACAACTTTCAACTTTTATGATATAAAAATATTAGGATTTCTTAAGCGTAAGGAAAGAAGTATTGCATTTATTGTATCTTGTGACCAGGCAATATCCGTTGAAAAACCATTAGTTCCAGATCTCATAAGCATTTGATCAGGATTTCCTGGAAGTGGAAGTATGTCTCTATAAAAAAATAAAGAATATTTTAATATATATGTTGACTTTAGGTACTACAAAGACGAACTATATACACTAAGTGATTGTATTACGTAGACAGGTTGGCTGACTAACCTACTCGGAGTCACTAATACACCAACAACGGTGCTATGAGGCACATTCATTGTGGGGACTGATGATACTACCGAATTCAAAGGATAGAGATGTGGTTTACTGACTTTCACCAGTTGGGTTTTGGGTCGGAATCTGACCGTAATTTCGCCTAGAAAACACTGGGTGGTGTTATAAACCATCACAGAATTTATATTTTGGTTGAAAACGTTGTAATATGGAAAATGTGTTTCAGATAGCTGATTAAGTCCTGACTAACCTCACTACTAACATCTATATACTCACATTTCATGTTAAAGATATACTCGTTTTGAATAAGGTTGGATTTGTAGATCTTCTATATGGATTTCGATTGTATATTATTTAACAGCCTTGCCTTCTCTAAATGAATTACTGATAATTTACACACACACACACACACACACACACACAACATAGACTCATTTTTTCTACACGTAAGCTATTCTTCGTTCTCTATCTCTCCGAGGCATAAATTCATATACTCGGAGGAGGGTTGTTATAATTTCTAACTTTTTCTAAGCATTTACCTGAGATTGGCAACAGTCTGTGTGTCATTACTATTAAAGACATTGGAAATGGTATTAGGAGTCTTAGAGATATAAAAAGTTTAGATATTCCTCTACCTAATCAGATTTTTATTCCATAAATATATTCGATCATATGCACTGAAAGAACCAGAGTAACCATCCACCGAATAAAAGAGTCACATTTTATTTGTGTTTGAATTTTTTGTTGTTGTTGCTTTTAAGTCAAATAGTGTTTCCTTGGATGGCGATGATGACAGAAAGGTATTAGACAGTAGTTGTTACATCAGTTAATTTGATCAACTAATCACCATTTCTGATACACTGCTGAGTTTATGATTTTGGAAGTACGATTTCCTTTTCTGTTAGTCTTCAGCGTTGAACTTCTGAGTTAAGTCTACCTTGGTGACTACAACATCTAATGGCTTAATGGTCTACGAGCTCGTCTTGTAACCTGTAGTAGAGAAGCAAGATGAGGAAGGTGATGTGAGTAAGGGAGAGTGATGCTCAGGGAGGGTTTGTGTGCTTTTGGAAGTGTGTGGAAGTTGATTGATTCTTCAGGAACCTGAAACAGAAAGAGTGTTGTGTGACCACAGAGCCCAGGGGACAACTACTGTAGGCCGGTCACACGCGACCTGTTTTTGTTTGTTCTTTATTGTTTGGTGTATCTCAGTAGCATATTTATCACTTCTGCCCTGTGACGCGGCAGCAGGAAGCGCGGTCGTTGTTAATCCGGGCCCCGACCGATCCGGCATAATATTTTGTGAATTTGTTTGAATCAGTATTGGATTGGGTAGCTGCTTTTTGTCTAACTGCTATCCAAACAACCTTTCTGGCATGGTAGGACCTACAGGAACATAAGTTCCAGCCAGTGTAGCTCGTTGGGTCATTGCGGTGTTCAAGCCCGACTACCACGTCAAGGTAGCGGCTTTCGGTCGCCTTGTAACCAAAAGGTCTTGGGTTCAAATACCAGTGGGCGCGTACTGACGAAGAGTCCCAAACTAGAACGAAACAACCATCCAGTACTCCTGGGTTTTCCAAAGGTTCTCTAACCGATGTCATCTCATGATGTAATCCTCCAACCAATCAAACAAAACCAATATTTGAAAATCTAAATATTTAACATTTTTCCTGCTGACAGAGATAAATGCATCTTATGCGAAGAGAAAATAAATAGAAATTATTGAGGATATCGATACCGATGAACATCCTTCTGGATTCTTATTAACTAGTCATATAATTTACAGATGACTGATTACAGAACTGGACTAAAGGCATTAACGTGTTATCTAGCTATGACCAACTGGATTGTCTGTAATCTGTATAGATATAAAGTAAGTCACAAAGGCTTATTCTAACGACAATCAGGTGAATAACCACGTCTGCATTCAGTATACACATCTTATAAATGCATAGAACAGAATTCTACAGTTCTTCCTGATTAATTAGTGGAACTTGACGCTAACTGCAAGTGATATATAATTTGAAGTTCGTTCAGGTCAACAGATCGTGAGTAGTGGTATTCTACAAACAATTGCAACACTCCGTAGAGATGGTGTAAGCGAATTCAGAAGTGCAGTTTTAAAGTACAAAAGAAAAATGAAACTTCCTCAATTTTAACCTGATCACTTCTTTAGTCATAGTACATTAATGAGGAGAGCGTTTATAATAAAATCTAACATATCTACTACAAAATCAATCACACAAAATGTAGAGAGAAAAAAAGTTCTGTAAATAATGGTTTAACTCTAAATGAAGTTGTTTTGTTTTTTGTTTTTCAATGTATACATGACCGTTGGATAAATGAAAGTAACTTCAAATAAGTGGTTTTCACTAGATTGATAGATGTAACTAAAACAATCTAGTTTATGTAAAATAAGAATTCGTTCGTTCGATAAGTGAAAACGATTTGTACACTAGCAGTAATAGTTTTATGCAAATGTACTACTATACAGAAAGTATGCATTTAGAGATGAATCTGTCAGCAAAACTATTTCATTATACCATAGACACCAGCACATACATATAAGACTACACTAGGAAGTATCTACACAGAAAAGTATTTTTTTGGGGGGAGGCGGAGGGATAAAAAACTACTTTCATTCATGGTTAGGTGTTTAATATACTAAGAAATACAAGCTAGGCCGGAATTAATTATCTGTCAATACAAGAAATAGTTTACGAAGTAGAATGATTCGTTCATTTATTTAGTGTATATACACCTACCTGTCTTCAATAGGATTATTGACAAGAACTAAGACATCAGCTTGAAATTGTGTATATCGATATAGAGCCATGTAAATAGATACAACATCTTCATTGGATTGATTAAATTTCGCTACTTTTTGTTGTCCAACGAGTAGAACTGTAGATGGGCAGCTAGGGAATACGTGAGAAAGGCATTAACAAAGAAAAATTAACAAAAGTACATTCTAATGAAAGACAAAAAATAGCTCTAAATTTCATGTTTGATCACGAATTGAACTCAGTTAAAGAACTATTGGATACCAGAGAGTACTGAACAGCTGTTCTATGCTTGTTTCAGACTCTACAGCAGTACGCTCTCATGGCTTTCAAGATTACCTACCACTCAGCCACCGGGATAGAATCCAGTGACCCACCGATTCTAACTCCTGCACATTCGTGATATGCAGCGGGACTGTCAGCCAATGTTCTACATTTATTCAACAACGTTTATAAAAAAAGTACAGCAACCTATACGGATAATTTGAAATATGTTAATGTAAATCCATGTGCAGGAAATTTCAGGAAAGGTACCTTTAATAAGAATGGGGAGAAAAAAAATGAGTATAAAAACACCAAATTAAAAAAATTCATAGCTGAAGTCAATTCCCGTCGACTGCTGCCTGCTGCACAAGAGGTGGCTCCCGTGGCCCAAGTGGTATAGCGGATAACGCTTTGGCTTTTCAAACTATCGGCATTGGGTACAAGCCTCGGTGGGAACAGTATCAGTCGCTGGGAATTGCAGGTACATTCTTTCAACGAGTCCCAAATAGGACGAAACGAGTATCGTGGATTCCACTATTAGTCACTATCCACCAGTTGAATTCAAGTCACATGACCAGACTTCGTCGAAGTATCTGCACAAGAAGTCGACATGTCAACCTGAGACCAAGCACCTCGGTCCAGTCAATCGACGGGAAAATCTAAATTGAACTAAACAAAATCATAATTGTTAGCTGTAACTCTAGTGTATTGAAATAGTGCTTTTTAACACACTTTTGCAAAGTATTTGCCTCTTATAGTATTTACACTTACGAAAAGCACAATCTGAAGTAAATTATAAAATTCTAAGGATGATACTTAACAACCATATCTATAAAACTAAATACAGTGTGTGTCTGTAGGAGTCTACAGATTCTGACTGTGATTAGCGAATAACACTATGAGAGCATCAGAATATTAACATTAGTATAAATGTGCGTCAGTGGTTGAATGGTAGAATGTCCACCAACCATACAATTGGTATGGATTCGATTCACAGCCAACGCACTGCCAAAACCTCGCAAAGTCGGTAGTAAGCGCGGTTAAAGACAAAGGGGTTTGGCGTGAGGTTAGCAATCACACTCCCAAAAGAATACACCATTGCTACCGAAACTTTAAAGCTTGAAGCCTTCCTCCCTATCACTCGGAATGCGAAAGAATGGAAAAAAAACGCGAGTATGCAGGACTCATTAAGAATTGTTCTTTCGTCGTAGGTAAATTGCAACAGAATATTTCGACTTACAGTTGAATATGTACTATAACAGAATCAAAACAATGATCAGACATACGTATAAAACTTGGGCACTGTGGTAGAGTATAACTCCATAATGATATGAATCATATCAACTTGATATGATTATGAGCAATAGTTTGTGCTCGAAACGTCATCAGTTAATATAACTGTACAACACTGTGTGATTTATCAAAATAAAATCTTAACCATTATGGAGCAATGATCAGACAGTTGATCGGAGTAAGTAATCGTAATCTGTATGATCATATTGTGGTTTCTGTTACTTACAGCAACATATTTAAGTAGTATATGATGTGATATCCTCTGGGAAATTAATGACACATTACACTAAACAGATATAATCACATTAATTGAAGTTTAGATTTTCCCGTCGATTGACTGGACCGAAGTGCTCGGTCTCAGGTTGACATGTCGGCTTCTTGTACAGATGCTTCGACGATGTCTGGGCATGTAATTAGATTTTAATCGGTGGATGGTGACTAACAGTGGAATCCAGGATGCGTATTTCGTTCTATTTGGGACTAGTCATCTGGATGTGCCTGCATTCTCCAATGAGTGATAATGTTACCACCGAGGCTCGAACCCAGTGCCGATAGCTTCAAACGCCAAACCATTATCCAGTCAATCGACGGGAAAATCTAAACTTCAATCAAATAATTAAAATGACCCATCGCACAAGAGGTGGCTCTCGTGGCCCAAATGGTCTAATGGATAACGCTTTGGCGTTTGAAGCTACGGGCACTGGGTTCGAGCCTCGCTGGGATCATCATCACTCATTGGAGAATGCAAGCACATCCAGATAACGAGCCCCAAATAGGACGAAATGCGTATCGTGGATTCCACTGTTAGTCACCATCTACCAATTAGATATAATCACTGTAGAGCAAACGACGGTGCAGAATTGTTATACTTGAAGAAAATCGAATACTTGATAGGAAATGAAGAATACCGCATGTCAAATACAGAATGCTGATATTATCCGCAGCCAGTAAACTGAGTAGCTAAGTCGAATATTTTATCAATTTTTCTCCTATAAACATGGCATTTCTTGTCATCAGCCACGTTTTCTACATTAACACGGAAATCGACGATCGACTGTGTTGTGAAATGATGAAGACTTTAGCTTGAGTGTGCAAATTTACTGCCAATGTATATTCCAAGCTGAATGATTTAAATGCGAAGCTTACATTTTCCTCGTAGAAAACATGCTCATCGCTAAAAATGAAAGAATCTAAATTTATAATCACGAATTGGTGGAATTCGGAATTCCTGTGCATCAGGCCCCAATGGCCTTATGATTTACGACCTTGCTAGTGGTATGTAGTCACATGATATCTGCCTTGTCTTGCCAATTTGTTATTTTTTGCTATATTCATGCATTGGTTTGTAAGAATTTGATTAATTGGTTACAGGATTTCATCATGAGCTGACATTGGTTAGAGAATCATTGGAAAGCCTGGGCGTACTGTCTATTGATCGTTAGTCCATTATGACTCATAATCTATCTTGTCTGTATATTAGCTAAATAATAATGTATGACCTTTGTCACATGACGTTGCAACCAATCAGAATCTAGTTGGTGGTTAGTTATTTTCTATATACTCTTATATTGTACAGTTAATCGACACTTTCGTAATTTTCCACCCACACTTTTGTGTAACAGTTAATTTCCCTTGCTGGGAAATACACGTATCCATTCGTGAACGTGGGGATCTTCTGACTTTCCTCTTCGGGTCAGGGCAAATTAACTACTAAGCAATACTAGTCTTTACGTTATCGTCCGTTATTTTTTGTTAGCCATATTTACAATCGGTCACACCATAACAATCTTGTAACCGGTAGGTCGTAGGTTCGAATGCCCAGTGGGTGCATAATGTTGAAGAGTCCAAGACTGGGACGAAACAGACGTCCAGTACTCTGAAGCCTTCCAACAGTTCTCTAAATGACATCAATGATCAAACTTGACATTTTATAACGATTTAGTCTGCACCCAACAGTAAAACTATTTCAGGAATTCCTGAAAACGGATGTATGTTGTTCTGAAAACAGATTCACCGGCGGGAGTTAAGTTACCCAGTAAGTCATCCGATGTATAATGGATTTGATTCCTGGTGTAATGAAATCCTAATTTATCGGTTCATTTAAAACTTACACAAATAAGATGGTAATACGAGCTTCAGAACACTGGTCATGACTAACGGACTAGCATATTTCATTAACCATTTAATGCACAGTGTATACCAAGCGGTATTTGGATTACTATTATTATCATCACTACCAAATACCAGTGAAGATTGAATGATATCAGCTGGGGTAACAATTATTTACTCATATCGTTAGCAAAAATGTATCTACCAATTTATTACATAATAAAATCAGTGAGTGGAATGAAGTTAAGGTTTGCAATAAAATGGGAGAATAAATTATTAAATATCATAATTAAAGCAAACGACAGCATGAACTTACTAAGGATCCGGATTGGATAAGTTGACAGTTGTAATAGACGAAATATTTGAATCTGTTGCCTCATTTGATGCACCTATCGCATCAAAATGAGTTCTGATAATTTGAACAAAGAAATCGCGGAAATAACACAAAAAAGTAAAATTTTTAAAAACGAAACAATACCTCAAAATAACAGTGATCTTTAATATTATTAATATTATTATGATGTCGCCATTTCTGTTTAATTTCATCATAGATCTATTAATGGAATTAACCCTAAGTGACTTCAGTGACATAGAGATTGACTTGTTGCCAGGGTACGGTCTTGTTGACTTAGAATATGTGGATGATATAGTCTTTCTAGGTGAAGACGCTGACAAAATGCAGTCTTCTGAACACGTTGAGCAGAAATCTTCGAATGTTTGGCATGTGATTTGCTCCTGTCAAATGTAAGCTGATGCTACAGGACTGCAATACACCGACTACTAGCTTAAAGAAGGGGGGTAAAGTGGGAGAGCGTAATGACCATTTCATTTCTACGTTCTATCTCTCGTCTCAAGTAGTATAGTATGGTGAGCAATATTGAGGTTAGGTGCCGAGTGTTAGGTAACGAGGAAAAGTCAATAGATGATACTATGAAGCTACATCGATTGAGATGACTAGGACGTGTTACGTATGCCTAGCCATCTCCTTCCTGGACTGTCAGTGTTAGCTGTCACGGGATCAGGTTGGAGAAGAGCTAGTGATGGCTAAGCCAAAACATGGAATCAGTCAGTGAAATCTTTAACAGACCGTTTGAACCAGGTAGGGAGGTGTAGATCGCCTAGTTCGGATAGTCGTGATGCTAAGACTCAATGCCTGGAGACAATTAGTGATGTGGAGTTCTCGACGGAGCAGATGCATACTCTCTTTGTGATCTGCCACATCCAATAAACCCTATTACTTTTCTCCCCCCTCACATTTCCGCTAATTATCTTTCTTTTGAATCTTGTTTTGTCTTCCTTTGTCTGATACATGGAGTGTGGTAAATCGAACTGCTGCACTTCTGTACAAAGTTCTAGACTGAAACCAGTCAGTCAGTATTGTTATGATACAGCATTACTGTGTGTTGTCAGGATGAATAGCAAGAGTTGTTTATTTGGAAATATGAGTCTTTTAGTAATGTAGTAAGTATAATCTTCAGGCCGGGTTCAGGAGCGATCAAGAATGCTGTGACCACAGGTGGGAGTTCACCACTGCACCTCGGTAGATTGAAAGTCACGACGAACCCTAATCGGGTACGTTCGATGGTGCAGTTTTTTGTCAGTATGGAGGCCTCAACGTCCTTCCTTTAATTCATGCCAGAATTTCACACTGCATCAAACGTACTGTTCCGAATAAAGCCATTATTATCATTATTATTAAGCCTATACTGTTCGAATAGTGGTTCCTTACAAATAAATCTAGACACTGTTCTACACTTGCAACGCAACACAAAATGTAAAAAGCTGAAGACAGTACAAAAAATCACTTGTCGTAGTGATATCTAAGCAAGCAACAAATAAATATTCAGCCGGCTAGGTTGAAATTTAAGCACCATTAAGTACCGAGGGATAGATGACCTTGAAATCACCAACCACAAGGTAAAGGCAATTTTGAGTATAAATTACATGTATTCATGAAAATAATGAATTAAAAGGTGTGGAACTGTTATATAGGGTACCTTTTATTGGAGTGTGATAAGAATACCTATTAGTTTCGGATTAGAGTATCGGTAGAGTAATTTAACCACATTCTATGCACGTAATTATCCGGGTCTTCTAACCTTTACAATTTCCGTAAACTTTCCTTAACCTGACTCTAATGTGAAAATATCCCTAAACTAATCTTATTGCAACTCAAACCAACCATAACGTCGCTCTTGTTAGATTAACCTAACCCTATGCTATCCTTAGCTGGAACCTTAACTTAATCTTTCCCAAACCTAACCTGAAACTTACCAGATATCTCATTTAATAACATAGCACTTCAATAAGCATATTTTATTTATGATTAGAACATTATTTTTCAGGTTTCACTAATCTGTTGGGTAGGCATTTCAAGGTCATTGGTGCGGTGCACTCTACTGGTACTAACTGGTGCTTACGGTATAACTTTGCCGTTCAACCATGTTATAATAAAACTTTCTTCACTCAATTTCAAGACTTCTGAACGCGTGTAGATGTACAAGGAAAACTGAAGACAGAAATCCAAATTTAAATGGGGTTATTCGATGAAGAAATAAGGGTAAAACAACTGCACCTAATGTCTGTGTTTGCTAAAAAGAAAAAATACACGGTTTATCTCAATTTCCTGTTGTTTTGTTTTCTTAGTGATCGGGCTACAGAAGTGAAAATGAGTATTCGATTAGAAGTTTTAAAATCGGAGTAAACCACTCAACCTTCATATATCAGTTGCTGGCCAAGTTAAACTTTGAGCAACACTAACTACCAATCAGAGAATGACCTTAAATGGTCCAATGAGTTTCATCCATGTGGGTTGAAGGTTCTATTCCGCTTGATTTGAGTCAAATGTCGGGTAAGGTAAGCTGATGGTTCTAATATTTCGTAGGAACATTTTTCGCCAGCTCCAACTTGTCCTTAACCCATATTTTGTATATTTGTAGTTACTGGGTTTTAAAACAGCCTGTAACAGGTGAAGCTGCTGAGACAGAGGAAATAGTCTCCTATCAACAGTTCAGTGGTGCCAGCACTGCAGGGATATCACGTCATGGAAAATGGAGAGGATTACTTGGTTATTAGGAGGAGGTGTCATCGTGCACATGGATGACTAGAAAGGTAATATCCACCTGTCATTCCTTGGATGTATTCACCACAGAGTCAATCATTCTAGTGATTTTGTGGATCCCATTACAGGGACACACATCAGTTCTATAGAAGGCTTTTGGGGGAAGTTCAAAACAGAATTAGGGCCATTAATCGACCTCAAAAGGAAGTCATTTATAGTCATTTAGAAGAACGTATGTATAGAATATGGTGTAAATTTCAGTTGATACTCCTAGGCTGACCTGAGAGATGTTTCCACCACATTTCAGAGACGGGTATCCTATGCAACATTTTTTCTTCACAAACATATGTTTTCCATAACCAAAAATGCCTCCTTCATGTGATTGGTGCGTTCAAGGTCATTCGCTGATTGGTAGTTAGTGGTGCTTAAAGTTTAACTTTGCCCAGTCGCTTATTAAAAACTGAAAAATATAACCTCTAATGCAACAATCTTATAAAGATTTTCTGTTCATAATATTTTTTTCAGTTTACAAATGCGAATTTTTCACTGTAATCACTAGATGAATGAAGGGTAAGTAATGAGGGTGTCAATATGACGAATACAATCACAAATAAAACTCGACTTTTGATTTCCTTTCTTATCATTCATTCACTTTCCTAATGGGGCATAGGGCTTCACAAGCTTGGGCCTTAAAGTTCTAGCAATAATGATATGCTTATTTTAAAGGGTGGAATTTTCAGCCTAACCTCAAACTTCTCTCTTTTCAGAGTTTACTACAAGCAAAGCGTCAGCCGGGAATTGAACCCGGATCACGTGTGTGGTTGCAGAGCACTCTACCCTTGAAAAACCGACGCATTAGGTACTTGGCCATAGGCCTTGCCAAGACCCAAACTCAAGTTTTCTGTATAATTATCTTCGCGAGTTTCTAAAATGTGACAGTCATTTCACGTATATAATCTTATTAAAGAATATTAAGAAAAAATAAAAAATAGAAAAAATATTACCTAGCTGCATCTTCATGATTACTATCACTGACATATTCCATGATATCGATTGTAATACTTTGAGAAGTTGATGGATGTAAAAAAACTTCTTGGTTATCAGGAATTTGACGTAGATCACTTGACAACGAATATACAAAATAAACAAAATAATAAAGGCAAAAACTTTTAATGTAGATTTTGTCACAAAACAATATTGTGGCGGGTGCTATTGATAAGGTATTGTAAATAGTATATTGTTAGTGATGTCTTCTGCAAAGCCATTAAATAACAGAGGGGTTATTTAAATGGTGAAGAGGAGAAATGAAAGGTTCTTGTAAAAGGACATAGAAAACTTGAAAGGACGACAAAAGAAGTACAATACGGAAAACAATTGCAAATGGTGATTTTAATTTAAGGTATGTACGTCATCAAACAAAGCATAGAATGGCAGTCAAATCCCTCCCTACCTCAACTTCATTGACTTCGACAAGGCCTTCGAAAGACAGCGTTGACTGAGAAGTAATTTGGAAACTACGTTAACACTATGGCTTGCAGTGCCCAAGTCTTTGTCAACCCCATTCAACAGCTGACTATAAGACAATGCTACGTGTCAGGTGATCCACGACGGCGAACTCAGCGAGGCGTTCAAAGTGTATTATAGGAGTAAGAAAAGCTGGTTGCCTATTATCCCCTTCGATGATATTCTTGATTCTGGTGGACTCGATTATGCGTCAGACTGTGCATAGGGAGTGAGGAGACAGGAGTATGCTAGACCACCGATGAGAAGATTCTAGAAGATATAGATTTTGCGCGTGGATCATTTATGTCCAATGTCACTCAAATTCGAAGACTTACAGGTGAAAATCAACAGACTGGCTGAAGAAGCAGACGGCGAAGACAGGACTACAGGTGAACACAGAGAGGACGGAGGTGATGAAGATAGCCAACCAACAGTAAAAGTAACAATCAGCACCAATTGGTATGAATGGAATATATTTGAGAGAGGCCACTTCCTTCACTGATCCGGCTAGGAAGCACGATTTCAACCACAAACAGTCGGAACGGATGAAGATGTCAAAGCCAGCCACAATCGGAACGGCCAGGTACGCATTCATAAACTTGAAACCAGTTTGGAAATCTTCTGCTGACACTCAGCCAGCATAAACAACAAGATTCGGATCTTCAACACGGATGTGAAGTCAAGTATTCAGTTTTTCTATACGTGTCAGAAACTTGCATTGTATGTCACGGAATGGATTTCCAACAGGTTGCAGACTTTCATCAACAGCTGCCTCCTTTGCTGGATCCATACTGAAGATCAAATGGCAAGACAAAAATAATTAGCAACACAAAACTCTGGCTGCCAACAAACCAACCAAGAGCCGATCGCTCAGCAAATATGTAGGAGAAAGTGGAAATGAATTGGGCATATGTTGAGAAGGCCGTCGAATGACATCGCGCGGAGTGCAGGCCATTGCTCGAGTGGAATCCTAATGGAAAACGACGAGTGGGTCGTCAGTGTGAGGGTGACATGGAGGAGATCGTGTGAATAAGAGATGACAGATTATGGGTAATTGTGGACCCAGATGAAGAGGACGGCAGAGAATAGAAGAAAGTGGAGATGTATTCCACTCGGAACCGAAGGGAATAATAATAGTAACAACAATGTGCGTCATGCCATATCTGTACATCAGTTTGCCAGTAGATAGTTCTGTTACCAAATGCCATAGTGTTCTACACGGTTACAGCATCAGTTATAGAATTACTGAAAACCGAAGGACATTAGACAGTTGTTTCATTCCAGTTTGAGACGCACGAAGCCATCAGAGATCGAACCCCAAGTACTCCGTTGAGTGATGAATCTAACGACACGTGAATTCTAACTTCTTTTGAATCATGACAAAATTCTTCTTGTAGAATTAGATGAATAATGGGAACTGACGAGGATATCAAAGCAAGGATCGGGAAAGCAAGGCAAGCTTTCATTACTCTCAAGTCTGTGTGGAGGTCAACATCATTCAGCGTCAAAAATAAGATCGGGATTTTCAACTCCAATGTGAAGTCAGTGCTACTATACGGATCAGAGACTTGGCGTGCCACAAAAAGCACCTCAAACAAGCTACAGACCTTCATTAACAGATGTCTTCGCTCAATACTCAAGATCAGATGGCCGGAAAGGATCAGCAACAAAGATCTCTGGGAGCGAACCAACCAGGAACCGATTGTGAAACAAATAGGCAGGAAAAAATGGAGATGGATTGGCCACACTCTGAGGAAACCAGCAAGTGACATCACTAGACAAGCCCTCGAGTGGAACCCGAAAGGGAAGCGACGAGTTGGTCGTCCAAGGGTGACCTGGAGGAGATCATGTGAAGAGGAGATAAAAGCATGTGGGCAGACCTGGAGCCAGGTGAAAACTCTAGCAGAGAACCGAACGCAATGGAGACGCATGGCTGAAGCCCTATGTTCCTCTAGGAACTAAAGGAAATAATAATAATAATAATAATATAACAAAAGTTTTACACTTGATAAATCAAATCAGACATTAAGTTTTAATAAATACACTACTAATAACAATTGTAATACCTCAAAAAGACTTTCGCATTTGAACTCTTTTCATAATCTCATTGAGAGAAATAAAATAGAATGACTTACATGAAAATGACTACTATTCACCAACATGCCCTGGAATTTGTTTTTAATACATTATCTTATGTGAAAACAGTTCATGTGTCAATAACTAAGATATTCAACTACTGTGTAAATTATTTGAACCTAAGACGTTTATTTAGGTTAACACAATTACATCAATATAAGTAACCGAATTGCCTGCATAGATCCGAAAGACTCAGACTTAGAATTCCTTTCTGGCTTTGTGTTACATCATCATTATTTCTGTAACTGATATCGAAGTAGGTCTGATAAGAAAATGATCTGATTTCATGAACCGGTGATTATTCAATATCTTTTGTAAAAGACAATATCTCGAACTTAGGGATCTACAACTAGCATTAGTATAGTTCGCTTTCATTCCTTGTATTCCAAGTGCAACATATTACTTCAAACTTGAAGCTTTGCAGTTTTATTAGTGATGGTAGATTACTAACTTCACTCCCAACCTTCTTTCTCTCCTGGGCTTACTGACAGGCAGTAAAAGAAAGGCGAGGTTTAGGAGTGCGTAGAAAGGGAATGGAGCTCGGATCACGTGATTGGATGGTGAGCATTCTACTGCTGAACCACCGACGCACCATCAGTGTTACATTTCTCTTAACTATACACAAAACATTAGATGTACCAGTAACTTGACACCAACACTTTCTCTATACAACTACGTTTAACGACAAATGAATCCCTATCACGTCAAGTCATACGTGAAGTGTTATATTGACATTTACTAAAACTTGAAGCTGAACTTTATGTTCAAGAAATTATGAAAGAAGAAGAAACAGGAATAGATGTTACTTAACTACCAATTTTGATCCCATACAATTGGAAATGTCCCACACCGGTTGTTTGGGGGGGCGGGAGGGCTGGTGATACACCACCCGGCTGCTCCAACCTCAGTGATAGGGTGAAGTGGAGTTTGAACCCATGATCTATTGGTTGGAAATCAACGGCATCTAAACCAACCATTTCAAGAAATTCTGAAGCGATTATCATGCTATAGAGTTCACCCCCCAAACAAAATATTCTAAACTCCTGATAAAAATATACATATACACAGTTAGTCATAACAGACAGTACTGTAATATTTAGTAATTGCTTACCTGGCGTCGATCACATTTGTCGGTAATAAACACTGAAATGCTCCACCGAAAAGTGGATGAGATTGCATTGTATTATGACGAAAACTGAAACAAAATTAAAGGGAGCAAAAGATAATACCATCATCAAACTTAGATGTTATAGACAAAACGAAGAAAGTGCAATTTGATGGTGGGATAAAAAATATTTACTCTAGAAACACCATTCACCAACGTTTTTCAGTAGTGTACAAAAAGCTTCAGACCAGTTAAAGAGTAATCTAATTTAAAGTATTCTACTCAGTAGAGATAAAACATAATTGGACATTTTATTCACAGAGTTGTTATCATGTGACAAGAAAATAACGGCGGCCAAAAAGGAAATAATATGTAGCGCAACCGCCAGCCAATGTCACAGAGAAGCAACTGTCCTCTTACCTGACTCAGCAGACCGTCCTGGTCACCACTTCTCACTAGAACTCAAGGTACACAGACAGTCCCAAGTGGGCATCAGACTAACTACCAGGTGTTGCTTTGCAAGGGTTTGATTACTTACAGAAGTTGAAATCCATGGGCTAATAGATCGGATCACAGTGACTGAATGGTCTACGAGCTCTCCTTGTCCTGCGTTCGAAATCTAGAGGGTGCGCACTGATGAAGCATCCCAAACTAGGACGAAACAAATGTCCAGTACTCGTAGGTTTTCCAAATCGTCCTCTAAATGATGTCGACGCGGGATCAAATATGGAACTGATTAAATGCCTACACACCAACACTTGATAATTAATCTGATGCGTACCAGTAACTGTACTTCGATTGGACATTTAGTAACTAGTGTGATGTGTCTAGTCCTGTCTTTGGTGCAGACTGAATTCTATCAGTCAAGTTTGCGATGTGGCCACCAATCTGGGTAGCCCGCCGTCACGGTGCACATTGACATAATGATATTATATGGTTAGAGGCGATGGGCCACACGAAGCCTTCGACCTAGGTTTCGTGCTAGTTGGCACTCACCAGTCAGCAGGGAGTATCTGCAACCTTGAAGGAACTCATGTCCCTTCCAAGGTTCGAACCCGCGTCACCTAGTGCTGCAGTCAGCTCATTGGTAACGTCTCTGACTGCAGTACTCACTGGGTGACTCGGGTTTGAATCTCAGAATGGACATGAGTATCTTCAAGGTTGCAGATACGCCTTGCTGACTGGTGAGTGCCAACTAGCACGAAACCTAGGTCGAAGGCTTTCTGTGGCCGGTTGACTCCAAACATCTAATACTAGTGACTGTCTCTATAGAAGAAGTTGCCTTGAGTTCTAGTAAGAAGTCGTAACCAGCGGGGTTCAACAAGTCAGATAGGAGATCAGTTACTCGCCTTTAACAAAGAAATAATATGCCCATTGGATATTAAATATGTAGTTATTCATAAGACTACTCATCATCATGTGATAGCTCACTACCAAACAGGATCCCAGTTAAGACAACTAGCTTATTTAATCCCTGAGCTAGTAGAAGGGTTTTATTAAGTATTTCAGCCATAATTATCAGCTGAACATGAAGGCTAAAGACTCCTATCAACAACTGCCTTCGCTCTGTACTGAAGATCAGATGGTTAGCTGGAAAGGATAACCAAAAAAGAACAAGGACAGTGCAAAGAACCATCCAACAACAACTTATCGACCAACAATTATGCAGAAGAAAATGGGGGTAGGTTTGACACGCTGTGAGGAGACCGTTGAGTGACATTACGTGTCGGGCGGGCCGTCGAGTGGAACCTGAATAGGAAACAATGAGTAGGACGTGAATCCGACGGTGACATGCAGGGAATCGTGTAAGGAGCCATCTTAAAAAAGCTTTCCAAGAACAGAGTGAAATACATATGTGCTGCTGTAACCCCACGTTCCATTTCGAACCCAAAGGATGAATAACAATATAATGATAAAAACGAAGTAGACTTAAAACTAATCATTAAACATAACTTTATCATCTTTCGTCTTTATTAAGCATGTACCAATAAATGCAACTTTGTACCACAAAATTCCCTCATAGGACAGATGTGCATACCAGTAATGATAATGTGACATGGAACACTCATTGAAGGAAGGAAACAAGACTCAAAGATGTACCCGGTTAGATGACATCTATCAAAAAAGTTACTCAGTTGGACAACAACAGTAAATTACTACAGATATTCATAATCATTAAAGGAATATTTTAGAAACAGAATGGTAGTCAACAGAATAAAACTTATATTTATTACACCATAATTATTAAAAATCAATTGTTTCGAAGGACATACAAGTTTTTCAGAATGAAAACACAAGCATAATACCATTTAATTTTAAATGTGTTCTACTAATAGATGGCTGGAGGCAATCGGTAGGAAGCCCTCTATCTAGGACTCATGCTAGTCGGCACTCATGAGGAAGGCATATCTGCAACCTTAAAGGAACTCACGTCGCACCTGGGGTTCGAACTCGAGTCATCTAGTGCCGTAGTCAGGGACGCTACTACTGACCTTTCGTAGGACTGTATTGGATACTTCGATTAGACTGTAGATAGTAATTAACCGGTATCATGCGTCTAGTCATTTGTTTGTTACAGACTGAATTCTGTCAGTCAAGGTCGCATTGTAGCCACTATGCTAGTTGGCTCGTCATCACGATACACTCTGAATTGTTGCCATAAGATGGTTGGAGGCAATCGGCAAGAAGTTTTGAACTGCGGTTTCGTGATTTTTAGCAATCGTCAGTAAGGCATATCTGCATTCTGGAATTCGAACCCGAATCATCTAATCACAACAATTCAGAGTACACAGTGATGACGATCCACTTAGCATGATGGCCACAGTGCACACTAGACTGATAGAATTCAGTCTGTACCTTTGTGGACGGAATGGAGTCCAAACCAGCAGCTGAATGGCTAGAAATCAATTGTCTAAACCCATGGACTACAGTTTCACATATCTTACTACACAATGTCACTATGACTAAAAGGGTTGCTACTGGAATTTCAATAGAATTACTAGTGAGAAAGCGACTGAGTAACACAGAATTAATAACAGGCTATAACGAACAATTGATTTAAGTAGGTCAATAATACTAGCCGTAAATTGAGAGAGTTTAGTACTGTAATAAAAATTATGATCAGTTGAAGAAGAACACTAATGAGATATGGACTAAATAAAATTTATTAAGTAAAAAATTAGGCCTACAGATGCCAATCTGTCTTATTTTTTTGGTGTATATATGCGGCATACATATACGCTGGCTGATCATTCTTTTGCCAAACGGTTGTTAGTACTTTTAAAGGTGTTTTATTTCGCGATCATCATGGATTTATAAGCGTTTAACCAACTGAATTTACTTGCTCATCTCATTTTTATTACATTTCACATCTATCTGATGAAACATACAGTGCTTCACACATTAACTGAAAGTTCTGGCTTAGATTTAGAATAGAACTGTGATTGAGCACAGTTTTCCAGTTGTTCTCTAATTCACAACAACTCTCATAACAGAAACCATTATGGAATCTACTTCATACAAACATTCTAATTGAAATCATGAATTATCAATTGTTGGTGGTTTACAGGGATTTGATTGGTTATAGGTTCGAGCACGAGTTGAGATCATTTAGAGGACCATTGGAAAACCTGGGAATACTGAACTACTCCAGTGGATGCGTACCGACGATGAGTCCAGTACTAGGACGAAACACTTGCCCAGTACTCTCAGTGGTTCTCTAACTGATGTCAACTTGTGATCAAACATGCAAAAAGTCATGAATTGTCTGAACAGTAACACTATGGTTGTATCGTCTTTGTGCGAATCCAAGAATCGAAAACTGAGTGGCAAGCTAAGATTATACGAAATTTATTCAGTTAATTTTAGTTTTCAGTATTCTATAAAGATTGATTTTAAATGACTTCAGCTAGGACAGCACTGATATTATTCTTCCAATTCAGTAAGCGCACTAATAATAATCAATTCCGCATGCTCATATCCAGAGACTTAACAAAAACACCTAACAAATCTACTGCCTTCAGTCAGTTATCCTCCAGTGGGCTGAATAGTTAACGGCCTCACTTTGTAACCAGAAGCTCGTGGGTTTGACTTCCGGTGGAGCCATGGGTACGAATTGCTGAAGAGTACCAAACTACGACGAAACTGCTGTCCCTGATTTTCAATGATCCTCTGACTGATGTCAGTTCATGATACCTGCAAACGAAGAATGGAAAATTAATCCAATGCTAACTGGTGACTAAATACAGGATGAAACTGCCTGGACTTCTAGTGAGAAGTCATGACCAGTGGGTTTCAACCAAGTTGGGTGTGAGGACAAATACTTGACTATGACATATATATCATACGTTATCATTCAGATTTGCAAACTCTTCAAAAAAAAACTCTACTGGGAATCAAATAAAAAATATTCTAGAGTGATGAATGTATTCACTTAGGGATTCGAACTACTAACTAAACCAACCTGCTACATTAGAATTAATCCATTAGATAGTTACTTTAAGTAATTTATATTGAATAATGTCGATGGTTCAGTGGTATACTGCTCACTAGCCACGTAAGTTGTTTGAGTTCGATTAGTCCCCCTCCCTGCCGACGTACTTCTAAACCTCACCTAGCCCGTAGTAAATCCACAAGAGAAGGAAGGTTGAGTGTGAGGCTCGTGAAAATAACAACGCCACTGCTACCAGAAGTCCAAGGCTTAGGTAGTTGAAGCCTTATGTCCTACTTGGAACGCAAAGGAGTGAAAGGGCAAACAATATTTAAAAAGGAAACTGTTTTTGTACATATATGAAGTAACTATTGAAAAGTCAAACTAACCAATAAGTAGGATAGTTGTATTTACACTTTATTGCTAAAGTTGACATACATACATATACAATAAATGGAGATATTTTAAGGCATATATTCAATCAATTCACATTTCTTTTAATAAGATCAAAAACTGAATTTCTTTTTCCTGATTGTTATTCAATTTCAATGGTGATGATATCAGCGAAAAAGAAGGGGAAGAAAATATTTAGAGGATTAGGTGGGTGAATGGGTGGTATGGGGAACAGCGAATTAAAAAGGCGTTAGGAGGAGGATGAGAAGTAGGATAAACTAACAGAGTGAGAGAAATGCACCGCGGTGGTGAAAAAAAGGCACAAACAAGTAGGGTAAGTAAGTATTCACTACCAGTATAAAAACAAAATAAAGGACATCAATGAGAATACCAGACCAACACAACATAAAAGGTCAGACAAACCACCACAGAGTTGAAAAGCGATTGTTCATATTTGCACACTCACCTATTTCTGCTTGCCATGATTCCAAAAACAAACGAGTGGAAAAAAAGCATGTAGGTAAGTAGAATGCATTTATTATTGTTTTTTTCTAATTACAAAACTCATAACAAACAATTTTGTATAGGAAACAACACATGGGAAGGTGGAACAGTGAACAAAAAAGGAATAAATACATAATAGAGCAATTTCTGTTATTGTGTCATGGGTTATATGGCAAAAAAACAACAAGGGTGTGTGTGATATGAACACAAGGTGACGTTGTACTGAGGGTTAAACAGTTCCCGTGCTATTTATTGATCGAAATAATGCTGGAGAATACATTCCATTTGTGGCTCTTATGTTACTGTTGTTCTTTTTTATTGTCACTGCCATCGTCCATCATAGGCAGAACACATTCAATACTGGAGCGTAAAATTGCAACCTCTTGACACTTGAGACGTTCACAATTTTGTCGTATTGATGATAGTTCTTTCCATTCTGGATCATCCTATGAAATAATGGTGGAGAAATTATATATATAGAGAGAAAGTATCTTACTCAAATAAATAACTGATTCATATGACTGTGAAAATTTGTGTTCAAATTCCTGTTAACTAACAGTACTATTTAGACAAAGTACTATTATTAATATTATCATAATAAATAATAGTAATAGCTTTATTTCAAACAGTACTTTTGATACAGTGTGGAATTTTTTAGTATATAATACAATAATGCATTTAATTTCCTCATTAAACTACATAGTACGGGGGGGGGGGAATAATTAACAGACCAGGTACACTGATAATATGTTTCAATAAGAATATCAAAGTGTGCGTCGGTGGCACAGCGGTTAGGACGCTCGCCGACCATGCCCATGGTCTGGGGTTTGATCCCTGGGCGATTCACTGCTTTACCCCGCTAAGTCAGTAATTAGACTGGTAAAGAGGGAAGCTTGGGCATGAGGCTAGCAACCCTACCTCGTAAAAATAACACCACTGCTACTGAGACTTCAAACCTCCAGCTTGCAGCCCTATGTTCCACTGGGAACGTGAAGGAATAAAATGAATAAAGTAATAATCACTTATGAATCAAAACCACTCTTAACTATTAAAGTTTTAGGCCGTTATCAGGTGTGATTACTTGATTACAAGCAATACATATGACCTACTTCATGACCCCGCACCATACAGCTAATAACAATGATAATAATAGAGATATTCTGTAAAGTGTTTCAAACACATTACAGAATTTTCCGTTTGTTTTATGACAAGGTATTCACTCTTTGGGAAAGATCTTCAAGTAATGTAATAGTCAATAATGCATCATTTGAAGCAATATTATTCCATCTGAAGAACGCCTTAATTATTCCAAGAAGTTCTTCCTCAATTTCCTTCAAAACTTCACAATGGTGAGTTGAAACCTGCTTAAAATGTACATAAGTGTAAGTTGCAACTCATGGACGTCATTGGATGATTAAAATAATAAGACATACAGTAAATGTGATACATTTTGATTTTTTCTATTCCTTTGAGTTCCGAGTGGAACACAGTGGTGTTATTCTTTTTTACGGGGGTGGGGTTGCTATTCTCATGCATCACCTTTCCTCTTCATCGAGCTTGATACCGGTTAAGCGAGATTTAAGAGTGTGTCGGCCAGCATTTAAACCCCAGACCACGTATGTAGTTGGCGAGCATTCCTACAAGTGAATCACCGACGCACATACATTCTGGTGGATGGACAAAATCTGGTAGCCCAGTGGGTTTAAACAGACCACTCGATAAGCTAGCTGACAAAACCCTAATAGGTTTTATGATATACTACTTGTATATTTCAGTAAAAAACATGAATATACTAAATAACAGTCTATAGAAGATGAACTAACCTCTGAGATAACGGTTCCATAAGCAGCAATCAGTAATTTTAAACGGTTTATTACAAAAGTAAATGCTCTGCAGTCTAAGGTATTTTCTTTGTTAAATTTCAAATCGCTTAATTTCGATTTCACTGCTGTACAATTTGAATTAGCCTCTGTCAAGTGATTATTAAGCTCATCTATAATAAGTATTATAATAATAGTATCAATAAGGATAATAATATTATAGTAAACCTTTGCGATAAAAAGTCAAGGGGCGAAGTTAATGAATGGCGATCCGAGGTGTGCGAACGCAAGACTGACCCTGAGGCAACCAATCAGAACAAAAAGGCTGTTTATTTACTAGAATAATACAGGTAATAAAAATGTAAAGCACACTAACCTTAATCTCAATCTCAAACCTAAACCTGATCGTCAAACTAATCCTAACCTTAACGAATTATCAACACATTATCCTAACAGTAATTAAAAACGGGATCGGGATGAAATTCGCACCTTAATTCGTGCACAACATTCACAATGGCGCTGTAATAATGGTAGGTCCCGTTATCCAATGAATAATGTGAGCTCAAGGTCACTGGTGCCAGAAATCATACCGAATTGATATAAGAGTAAAACTTGGGCTACAAAGAAGTCTGGCAGTGCAATGAACTAACTAACACAACATATGGGCCCAAGAAATATGCAGAGAGAAAATCGATGTGGAATGGACACACTGTGCAGAGACCGTTGAGTGACTTCATGTGCCAAGCCCTCTAGTGAAAACCGAATTCGAAACGAGTTGGGTATCCAATAGTGATATGGAAGCGATCACGTCGGGAGAATATTACAGTTTATTGGTAATCGCAAAGCCGAATAAAAACAAATGCGGAGAACAGAGTGAAATGGAGATGTGCTGTTGAAGTTCTATGTTCTGTATGGAACCAAATATAATATTATTATAATACGTCAAAGTTATATCACTAACACTTTAGAAATTGTCTGAACTCAGCTTTAATGATAGGTTTTTCTTGTGGCTTAGGGTATTTGTATTTCTTGATTTATGAATATGTTAATAGACGATGTATTTACTCAAGGCTGAACAGCTGTGAAAATGTTCACAATGTTTTACTGTACAAATTCAAGGCAATTAATCATCTCGGTATTATTGGAATATTACTGTTCGTGTCGGTTCCGAGAGGAGAATATAGTTTCGGCAACACAACGCCGTTTCATGTTCTTCTCGGAGGTCTGTTTAAGCTACCCCAAAGATTACCCACAAGCTTCCAGCTCCATCTCAAACAATCTTCTACTTGACAACCTCAGAAACAAGCCAAACTCGTCATTTCTCATCCTCTTTCAACTCTAAGGCCTAGCACTTTATGTCATTCAACGGCCTCCTCAGCGAATATTCAATCCATCTCCATTTTTTCGACATATTCGTGTTTGGCGTTGGGTTCTTCAGTGATTTGTTGTTGCTAATCTTTTCTATCCAGCCATCCGAACTTCAGTAGGCAGTGGAGACATCTATTGATGAAAATGTGAAGCCTGTACGAAATGCATCTGGTGACGCATTAAGTCTCTGAAGCACTGACTAACTTGATATTAGTGTTGAAAATCCAGATCCTGTTACTTATGCTGAGTGCAGTAGACTTCCACGCTGCTATCAGAGTAATGTAAGTCTGTCCTTCTTTTCCGATCTTGGCTCTGACATTCTCATCCATACCGCCCTATAGCTGAAACGATACTGTCTAGGAATAAGTCCACAAGTAATAAAAATTTAGTCTTGTATAAGAAATCATACTGAAGTAGATACAGGATACTTGGAAACTGTGAGATAAAATAGTTTTGTGGTAGTTAGTTAACTATGAAAATCGATGTTAATGGCCTACTGTGATCCAAAAATGACTACAAAATAGTACCAGTGGTGAACAAATAGCCAAGAATATACATAACATGATGATCATGGAATACAGCTACATTGTCTTTTCTGCATGTAACACATAACACAAAACCTTCAAATGCCAGGTTAGCCAAGTTATTTTCCAAGCTGTTGATTGAAGTCATTTAAACACGCTATTGTTGATTCAACAACTTTATTAAAATGCTGCTTTTTTTTATAGAACATCACTTCTATCTAACAAATCTAGCAAACTAATTACACTAAAAAACTCGATTTCTTTAACTTTATATATGTATATACAATTACAGAACTTACCTTCATTCATAGAAAATACTCGTGAAAATATGAAAAATTCTGTCATGGATTTCAGGTTACCGGATAGGTCGCATTTTAAAGGCCTAAATTATGGATAAAAAAAGAGAGAAGTTAATGTGAAAGAGCTTAACATTTGGTCTTACGTGACACGCTCCTCGTGTTACGTAAGAATACACTGACATTAAGTAACGATTAACATTGTCTCTCAAAGTGTTCTTAATCTGGTAGTAAACACATCGATTTATCTTGTATAGCAGTAATTTAGGAACTAGCCAAGTAACTGCAGTATACTGTGAGATCCATCAATGAATAATCCATTAGGAATGTCGAAACTTTATCTGTGTTAGCTGCGCTGATGTGAGCAAATATCAATAGGAACACTTAAAAAATATTAATGGAGTAACAAGGATAGTTTGTAAACTGCTTGTATCAGTGACCAATTATGGTTGTATTTTACAGAGAAATTAATTAATTGAGGAACGCTTCTACTAAGTATTTCTTTCTTTCTGAAATTAAATGACATACGAAATGGTTGACGAGAAAATCGCTGGAGGAGCAGCTATCCTTTTCAAGGATAAAAAGATAGCATAAATTTAGAAAGCGTTCATAAATCTTGTTTTCCTTTGTTTCCTGAAAGGCAATAAACATTGGCATTTTAGTTTTTTGCTCAAATTCTTTTCATCAGGTTATTTTCAAAAAGTTATCATTAGTTCACCTCGCCTTTCTTTCATACCATGTAATCTCTTAAAAGGACTTCCAACAGGTTACAGACTTTCATCAACAGCTACCTCCTTCGCTGGCTCCATGCTGAAGATCAAATGGCCGGTGAGAAAGAATCAGCAACAAGAAACTCTGACTGGGAACAAACCAACCAAGAATCTAATGCTCAACAAATATCTAGGAGAAATTGGAGATGGATCACGCATACATTGAGGAGGCCGTTGAATAATATCGCGCCCAATGCAGGCCATTGCTCGAGTGGAATCCAAATGGAAAACGACGAATGGGTGACATGGAAGAGATCGTGTGGCGAGGAGGAGATGAGATTACGGTCAATCGTGGGCCTAACTGAATACGTTTGCAGGAAATACAGCAAAGTGGAGATGTGTTGTTGAAGTCCTATGTTCCATTTGGAATCCAAGGGAATAGTAATAATACTCTAATCTCTTAATTACTCTTTTACTTATAACAATATGCAACTATCACAATGTAAGTACAAACACCCGATGCATACTGATTTACGAACACAACAATGCAGCACTCCAGTTCTGAGGAGAATAGAAGAAAAATGTTTATCTTCAAGGAAAATGGATACTTTTATAATTGCACCAAAAAAGTATCCAAACTCAAGTTAAATAACAGCAAGAAAACAACTACAGAAAACATAGGAAATTCATTTTACTATATATGCAAAGAATGTTTTTGAAGTAACGACTAGAAAACTAAAACTATTCGAAATAGATATGTTGTACACAGACCAATACAGTCACTTCATTCAATACGATGCAGACCAAAAGACCAAATAGCAAAAAAAGACAAGATTGACACACCATCTACAAAATAAATTGGACGAACTATGGTAGGAGCTACATTGGTCAAAGTGGGCGTCCCTTTCAACTCCGAGTTAAGAACATAAACTAGTTGTTAAAAGACGCGACATACATTTCTCCAAATCGATGCATATAGATAACTGTGGACACTAATTTGACTGGTAATATGTAAAAATATCGAAAATACCAGGGCATTCCTAGAAGCCTGGTACTCAGACCAATCAGCGGTCGACAGACACATTGGTATATATCATATTTATCAACTAATAAAGAATAAACTACTTGACAACGGTCGAACTCCAAGCCAAGAGAAGCGGTCGATACTAATGCAAACAAATCACGATAACGATGGTCAGATGATACAATCATATATTCAGGTGATATGATTTGTGGGGATTTTGGATTATTTTCAGTTGTTGCATATTCGTCACGAAACAATATGAGCTAGAGGGACCACTGAAAACCACAGAACACTGGACAGCTGTCTCGTCGTATTTCGGGACTCCTCTGTAGTGCACACCCACGACCTTGCCAGGAATCGAACCCGGCTGTTGGTTCGTAACGAAAGTTTAACGATTGGAATTGATCCAAAATCCCTACGAACCTCATAATCTGAAAATCAATCGCCAGTTCAGTGATGGCTACTGGATAGTTGTCCAGAATCTGCAGTGGGAATTCGTAACCAGTGACGCCCACCATACCAAGGTGAATAAGGGATTCTCATCGAAGGCATTGGTGAAGGCAGAGCTATATACCACGAATTGACAAAGTTAGAACTCAGGAGCCATTGAATTCCAGCCTAAGCGGCTGAATGGTCAATGAGCTAAAACGCGTAACCTGAAGGACCCGGGTTCGATCTTCGGTGGGGTCATGAGTGTGCACTACAGAAGAGTCCCAAAACACGGCGAAAAAGTTGCCCAGTGTTCCCTGGTTTTCAGTGACCTCTCTAAGTGATGTTGGTTCGTGATGAAAATCTAACAGTTGAAATACAATTATATCATTTATGAAGAATTTAAATAAGTTAACTCTGAGCTGAAGATGTTGTCTGAAAAGACAATGAAAGGTCGACAATTAGATCACCGACCTCAGAGAACATAACCATATCGAAATCATCCACCTGAGCTACAAATGCCAAATGTCATTAAAAGATTATGTGCTATGAATATTGCTAGGGAGTCAAGAAAGAGCAATAATTAGATAATTAGCAACTAGGTATTCCTTTATAATCAACAAAATAACTCATGGCCTCATGCTGATATATATATATATATATATATATATATATACATTTATAGGAGTACTGAATTTAACAAATTCTATTGTGCTACCTAAAATAGAGAAACAACCTTGAGTAAACCATTGTTCATTCGAACTGTAAGTCTCATGTTTGACACATGTCAATCAGATTTTATTGTACTGTTACAAGCAGAGAAACTGCAGGAGATTTTGTTAAAAAAATTCAGAGTTGATTACCATTAAGCATAAAAATGTCCTTTAACAACAAAGTGGAAATAGCAATTCATACCGACACAAATAGAAATGCTATAAAGTTAACTAATATTCTTTCATTATCCTGATCTCTGTGCCATTAAACTAAAAGTATTATTGATTGACTACAAACACTAATTTGGATAATTCAAACAATACACACTTACACATTCAAACCAAACATTTCTAATAATTGTTTTCGTACATTTCCCAGAGAATCAGAAGTATTAATACCTTTATGAAATAAAACAAGAATACAACAAAAAGAGAAAGGGATATTGATTAAGGTAGAAGAAAAAGTTCCATAGAAAAATTCTATCACTTCCACTGCTCCTATGAAGTTCACTTATATTGGCCGTCGCTCTAGGAACATAGGCTTCAGTACTCAAGAACACTTGGCAATTTGGGTAAATAAAGATGTGTAGTGAAAACCATTAACAGTCAGATATTTGACGACTTTCATTCAAAAATGCTATTAAAGCCAGCATTGCAGAATCGTTTTCTATCATCTATCGACCATAAAATAAAGTGAAAAAGCCTCTAGGTATAGAATACTTCAGACAGCAGAGGCCATTGCAATCTGCTTAAAACACCCGGAGCTCGGAATGGAAAAGAAACAAATTCAGCGGCAAAGTTCAGCTTCTCAAGGGATGAGAACGCACGAGTGACCTTCAGCTGACCAACCATAAAAATAAGTGACTTTTGCACACAAAAATGACATATATTTACAAGAAAATGCATGATAACACATTAAAACAGAATATCTTTCTCTGACATGACTTAGAAATACGTCCCAGTTATAATAAGGAGTATCAGTTGCTAAGTTAGACTAGGTTCACCAAGGTGACCAAAGATGAGGTGTTTTTGTGAATTGTTTATCTCTCTTCTCCTGTTATGCAGTCTTTCCCCCAAAAGCCCTCGGTTGAATTACTATGGTTTCCAGGAAAATGTGGATAAGAAAACAAACTGAAATAAATGACATCAACTCTAAATCTATCCCAAGTCGTAAACCTAACCTTAGCCGGACCCTAACCCTAATTACAACCCTTATCCTACCGTAAACTTAACCCTAATGCTAATTATAACCCTGATCCTAACCCTAACGAGCTATTAACACATTGTCCAAACAGTACTTAAAAACGTGACCTGAGTGAAATTTGCTGCTTAGTTGGTGAATAGCGTTGATATTTCAGCTATGATAATGATAGGTGACGTCAGCCAGCGACTAGCATGCGTTCAAGGTCACTGGAGCATACGCACTGCTGGGAAGCTATTGTTGAACTTCGACAATTCAGCCATTATTGTTACTTTGGCCTGCATCACTATTATATATTATTATTCTACTGCATTACGAGTGGAACATGAGGCTTCAACAGAACACTTCCATTTCATCCCATTCTCATTAGTCGTCGTCTTTAGCTGGCGGGCTGGCTCCACGATCACCCTCCTCACACAGCTTCCAACTGATTCATAAACTCTGTATTGCTTTTTCTTGGTTTATCTGATAATCAGTTTAATATTATACTGATGCATATTACCACTTACAGGGGATGCTTTTGAACTTTAATCTCTATATGCGATTGACTCAACGTTATTTAAAGCATTACTGATTATAATAATAATTCTCTAGTTATTATTATAACTGTAGAACCTGATGAGGAAGTTATCGAAAAAAGTATTTTTTTTTCGTCAACTAATCAGTTGATGTTATTTTGTGGAAAAGAAAAACATCTGACTAAAATCAATATAGATAATAATAAAGATTAATTTTGATAAAGTCACACAGTGTGCTACAATAATATTTACTGATGACCACATTTCGAGCACAATTAATTACTGCTCACAATAATATAGATGCACTCATTCACACAACTTTCGTGCTTCATTTATTTACATGATTTCATCGAATCTACACCTAACACATGCAATAGAAGTGACTAAACGGGCAAATACCAGAAATAGGGGAGGTATTATTACCAGTCAAATCAGAGAAGAATAAATAATGTTAAAACGTATTCAATTCACATTCTAACAAGTTACTTATTTATTTTACTATAAAAAACATCTTATTCCCCATCCTATTGTGTTTTATTGATAACACTACTATTATTTCCGAATGAAAAATATATGTGTAGAACATGGGCACTGTGGTAGTAAGTAATTCCATATTAGTTTGTTTATTAGGTATATCACACAGTGAAACAGTATTATTTACTCGATGACACAGTTTCGAACAAAATTTATTGTTCATAATCATATCAATTGTGATCACACGACTTTGACACTTGAGTTCTATAGCTTTCTTTGTTTTCTCCAATTTGTCGTAGGGGGAGTAGAATTTTCCAGATATCTGGGACAGGTGATGAATCATTCCTATTACATGTATTTGCAGTTGATTCGATAAACAAAGCTTCTGTTATCAATCTCTCCCTATACCCTGTGACATATTAGATTTTAAAACTGTCATCCTATCCCATCCTATTGTATGGTTGTGTGTGACTGCAAGTAGTGCTATAGCTGAACTATTCTCTAGATTTCTTATTTTATTCGGGTCAACCAATCTAGATTTTGCTAAGTTTTTATGTTCAGCTAGTCTGACTGCCCCTGTTCTACGAGTTTGACCTATGTATTTGACCTGACAATCATTGAAGGGTATTAGATAAACTAAATTGTTTTGTTTTAAAGGCTCTACAGGATCCTTTAGCCAACAAAGCTTGTTTCTAATTGAGTTTGTGGGTTCAAATGCCGTTTTTATTCCTGCCTTGTTGATAATTCTGCGTAAGGCTTCCGAAGTTCCTTCCTTGTATGGAATTACTACTGATGATTAAGACTCTCTATTGCTGGTGTCGTCATTATCATTGTTATTATCACTATCGCTACTATCATTATTTATTTTATTTTTACATTTCCTTACATATTTCCTGACTAATTTATCCGGGTAATTATTAAGTTTCAAGGCTTCTTTTATATGTATCAGTTCCTGTTTTAGATTTTCTTTGATACTACTTAATTTTTGTGCTCTGTCATTTAAACGTTTCACCAATCCTATTTTTACTGACATAGGATGGGATGATTGGAAGTCCAAATATCTGTTTGAGTGTGTGGGTTTCCTGTAAACACTAGTGTTTAACTTCCCATCTTCTTTCCTCTTTACATTGCAATCTAACATTGGGAGCTCCCCTTCCTGAATTTCCAATTCATAAGTGAATTGAATTGCTTCAACCTTCGAGTTTATGTGTTCGAAAAACCTATCTATATCTTGTGTTCTAAGTACAGTGAATGTGTCATCTACGTACCTCCACCATACTTTTGGGGTGGGGGTGAACGTTTCAATCGCTATGCTTTCCCACTTATTCATGAATATATCTGCTACCACTGGGGATATTGGTGATCCCATGGCAACTCCCTCAGTTTGTTTGTACATTTTCCCTTGGAATTTAAATACTGTGGAAGTCAGGCATAGATATACTCCCAGCATTATGTCCTCAAGTGGCACTTTTGTCCTAAGTTCGAGGTCTTGGTCAGAAATGAGTTCGTTTCTGACTGCTTCCATAGCCATATTTATTGGTATACGTGTGTATAAACTGACAATGTCAAAACTAACCATTTTTTCTTCATTATCTAATTTTAAATTATCTAATCTATGTTTTAGTTCATAAGAATTAGTTAGTCTAGATTTCGAGTGGATTTTTAGGGGATTTAATACCATGGCTAAATATTTAGATAATTCATAAGTAGGTGAATTTCTAAAATCAACTATAGGCCTAATAGGGTATCCTGACTTATGAACTTTAACAACACCATACATCCTACTGGGGTTATTAGTTTTGGGCATTAAATTAAACCACTTAGACTCACCTAGAAACGGCTTCATTCGGCGTATGAGGTCCGCTGTGGATTTCTTAACTTTATTCATAACTGTATCTATTGGTTTATTAATTTCCTCATATGGTCCTGTTTGTATGTGAGTATTTACCTTGTCCAAATAGTCTGATTTGTCTAATACTACTGTTGCATTTCCTTTGTCTGACTTTGTGATGACTATATCCTTGTTATTCCTAAGGTGTTTCAGGGCTTCTATCTCTTGTTTTGTCAGGTTAGGCTTTCACCCATTTTTGTCGTTTTAATGTCAGTGCACATTGTGCCCGTACTTCATCAGCCGTAGCTTCGTCAATCCCACTTAGTGCTATTTCTATTTTAGGGATGATATCCTCAGGTTTCAGCTTGTCTACTGATACATTGAAATTTAGTCCCTTTTCCAATACACTTATTTCCGTAGGACTTAATATATGTGTTCAGAGATTGATAACCCACTTTGATTTATCGATCGCCGTTGACTTTGGATTGTTGACTTCATCATTCTGAGATGAAGATTTCTCTTCTAATAATTTGTCGAACCTTTTGATTTGACTATTTTTGACTTTTTGAAAGTTGCTGATTTTGCAATGCTGGAGGATTGTGTTATAAGATCATAATCTACATTGGTAACTATTACTTTTAGCTTTTGTCTTAATTGCTCAATATCAGATCTGATATGTTGCAATTTTTCAACGATTCTGTGGATCTCTTCTTTCAGGCATAATTTTTGTAGGCCTTCTATTCTGCTTCTAGCTCTGTCCGTTGGAACTGGAGCTCGTAGACGTAGATATTTAGGAATGATTTCATTTTTTAAGCATCGAATGTTGAAAATACGATGATTTTCATATATTGCTTCAGTTTGTGAAAGTCGAGTGAGTTGATTGATAAGTCTTCGTACAGGAAGACCATGAGTCATATTAATGTATGTGTAAAACGTGGGCACTGTGGTAGTAAGTAATCCCATATTAGTTTGTTTATTAGATATATCACACAGCGAAACAGTATTATTTACTGGATGACGTTTCGAACAAAATTCATTGCTCACAATCGTAATCTTCAATCCCACCCTCCGTGGCCCAATTCATTATAAACTTTACTCTCCATATATCCGGTATATGCGTGGCGTCAGCTTGATAATAAATTCGTTGAAAAGGGAGACTTCGCTGAATGTACTATTCTGAGTAATTCGAACCTTGGTAAAATTGAGTAGTCAGAATACAATGGTGACTAACACTCACCTCTGATCCCATATGAGTCGTGTGGTCCACCTCCGAAGTGACGAACATCGATTGAATTAATTGTCTACCCATTTGTGTTGTAATCAAATTTCGCTTCAGATATGAATTAGGCTGACACAATCAACTGCGAAATACCGATTAGGCATTCATGGGAAGTCCACGTGCTTTATTCACTGATTCGCGACTAGACAGCATAAATCGAATTCGAATGCATCAACTGTGACCAATTGATTAATAGGCTGTGAAAAATTTCAACACTCTTGATTGACTTGAATGAATTCAGTGGTGGCGGATGAAACGTTTGTGTGGAGATGGAGGATTTCTCAGCAGGGAGATTTCACTTGTCTAATTCGTCTCTCATCGAAGAGTTGGTTTAGAGACTCTGGTTGATCACAACCTGTCCACATTTCCATTTTAATGATTTGTTTTACTCAAACACGTGTTCAGTCTGCTTCGGTGATGGTATCAAGCAGTGATCATCGAACGGAATGTGTGATCTCAATGATTTTAGTTTTCAGAGGAAGTAGTGATACATTTTTCCTTCGAACTGAGCAACGTGCCAATTTGTTGGGGTATCCAATGAGAGGGTGAGAGAAAGAGAATACAGGTAGTCTTTTTCTGTTTTTCCGTTTTTGTCTCAGCTGAATCTCACAGACTACACTTCTGATCAGGTGTTGAGCAAAACTTAGTCTTAGTAAGGTCTCAGGTTTCAGTTATGGTCAATTTCGGTTATTTCATACTAACTGTCAGGCATTGTTGATAAATATTTTGTTAAACACGCTTTCTGGACACAAATTCTCTCCTCAACCCTGAACAAAATTCATTATCAATACTTAACTCCAGTCCTCTTCTCTCACGTGAATTTGTCACGTTCATGTGATCGGTGGAGTGAATGTCATTCGAGTACCCATTCTCTGGGGTCACCATGCTCTGACTCAGTGCAATATCACCCGTTCTAAATCACACTCTAATAACCTGCATTGTCCTACTTCATTTCTCCTTCACAGTCCACGGAAATATGTGATGACCATTTGGAAATCCGAGTCAGTACAGATAACCACGCAAAGACATCATTCGACAATGAAGCAACTATCAAGTACATCAAGTCAGACATGTTCTGATGAATAGGAGGAAATTAGGTGACCCACTGACCGAAGCTATATGTCAATTGCAAGCACATTGTTTTCGGTAGCTGAATGTAACCTAATCATGAAATACATTAGCAGTCAGTGTGACGTAATCAAGGTAAATTTAAGCTGAATAGCCGATTCATTATTTTGTGAGTAGAATTTCACCAGTTGTTAGTTGATGATTACGCAATTGTGTCACATGTCACTTAAACGAAAGTGGAAATGACCCGTGAGAAAAGTATGAGTCATCTGAACTGTTCATTCTATAACTGGTGTGTATTTTGAATAGGTTTAATTGGGCTTTATATACAAATCAATAATGACTTGAATAAATGTGAACTGTGTTCACTAAGATATTTCTATTCAATCTAACCTTGTCATTTGATTTGAATTCACCAAAAATAAATTAAAAGAAGGACAACAGCGTAGAATGAATCATTTTTTCAAAAGTCGGCGATGGACGATTTGCATTTCGCCTGCCAAATGTTATTAATTCTCTTGTTGGGGATTATATGATCGTACTCCTGAATGAATTTATTGAGGTGATGGAGGAAATCATGGACCCAGTTTGGAGAAATGTCAGTGGAGCTAATATGATATTTGTTTAACGTTCAATGGTGTCATTTTATATGATTGGAAAAGTGGATTAAAAGCACATTTGTGTGTGTTTTTAATCCACTTTTCCAATCATATAAATGACACCATTGAACGTTAAACAAATATCATATTAGCTCCACTGACATTCCTCCAAACTGGGTCCATGATTTCCTCCATCACCTCAATAAATTCATTCAGGAGTACGATCATATAATCCCCAACAAGAGAATTAATAACATTTGGCAGGCGAAATGCAAATCGTCCATCGCCGACTTTTGAAAAAATGATTCATTCTACGCTGTTGTCCTTCTTTTAATTTATTTTTGGTGAATTCAAATCAAATGACAAGGTTAGATTGAATAGAAATATCTTAGTGAACACAGTTCACATTTATTCAAGTCATTATTGATTTGTATATAAAGCCCAATTAAACCTATTCAAAATACACACCAGTTATAGAATGAACAGTTCAGATGACTCATACTTTTCTCACGGGTCATTTCCACTTTCGTTTAAGTGACATGTGACACAATTGCGTAATCATCAACTAACAACTGGTGAAATTCTACTCACAAAATAATGAATCGGCTATTCAGCTTAAATTTACCTTGATTACGTCACACTGACTGCTAATGTATTTCATGATTAGGTTACATTCAGCTACCGAAAACAATGTGCTTGCAATTGACATATAGCTTCGGTCAGTGGGTCACCTAATTTCCTCCTATTCATCAGAACATGTCTGACTTGATGTACTTGATAGTTGCTTCATTGTCGAATGATGTCTTTGCGTGGTTATCTGTACTGACTCGGATTTCCAAATGGTCATCACATATTTCCGTGGACTGTGAAGGAGAAATGAAGTAGGACAATGCAGGTTATTAGAGTGTGATTTAGAAAGGGTGATATTGCACTGAGTCAGAGCATGGTGACCCCAGAGAATGGGTACTCGAATGACATTCACTCCACCGATCACATGAACGTGACAAATTCACGTGAGAGAAGAGGACTGGAGTTAAGTATTGATAATGAATTTTGTTCAGGGTTGAGGAGAGAATTTGTGTCCAGAAAGCGTGTTTAACAAAATATTTATCAACAATGCCTGACAGTTAGTATGAAATAACCGAAATTGACCATAACTGAAACCTGAGACCTTACTAAGACTAAGTTTTGCTCAACACCTGATCAGAAGTGTAGTCTGTGAGATTCAGCTGAGACAAAAACGGAAAAACAGAAAAAGACTACCTGTATTCTCTTTCTCTCACCCTCTCATTGGATACCCCAACAAATTGGCACGTTGCTCAGTTCGAAGGAAAAATGTATCACTACTTCCTCTGAAAACTAAAATCATTGAGATCACACATTCCGTTCGATGATCACTGCTTGATACCATCACCGAAGCAGACTGAACACGTGTTTGAGTAAAACAAATCATTAAAATGGAAATGTGGACAGGTTGTGATCAACCAGAGTCTCTAAACCAACTCTTCGATGAGAGACGAATTAGACAAGTGAAATCTCCCTGCTGAGAAATCCTCCATCTCCACACAAACGTTTCATCCGCCACCACTGAATTCATTCAAGTCAATCAAGAGTGTTGAAATTTTTCACAGCCTATTAATCAATTGGTCACAGTTGATGCATTCGAATTCGATTTATGCTGTCTAGTCGCGAATCAGTGAATAAAGCACGTGGACTTCCCATGAATGCCTAATCGGTATTTCGCAGTTGATTGTGTCAGCCTAATTCATATCTGAAGCGAAATTTGATTACAACACAAATGGGTAGACAATTAATTCAATCGATGTTCGTCACTTCGGAGGTGGACCACACGACTCATATGGGATCAGAGGTGAGTGTTAGTCACCATTGTATTCTGACTACTCAATTTTACCAAGGTTCGAATTACTCAGAATAGTACATTCAGCGAAGTCTCCCTTTTCAACGAATTTATTATCAAGCTGACGCCACGCATATACCGGATATATGGAGAGTAAAGTTTATAATGAATTGGGCCACGGAGGGTGGGATTGAAGATTACGATTGTGAGCAATGAATTTTGTTCGAAACGTCATCCAGTAAATAATACTGTTTCGCTGTGTGATATATCTAATAAACAAACTAATATGGGATTACTTACTACCACAGTGCCCACGTTTTACACATACATTAATATGACTCATGGTCTTCCTGTACGAAGACTTATCAATCAACTCACTCGACTTTCACAAACTGAAGCAATATATGAAAATCATCGTATTTTCAACATTCGATGCTTAAAAAATGAAATCATTCCTAAATATCTACGTCTACGAGCTCCAGTTCCAACGGACAGAGCTAGAAGCAGAATAGAAGGCCTACAAAAATTATGCCTGAAAGAAGAGATCCACAGAATCGTTGAAAAATTGCAACATATCAGATCTGATATTGAGCAATTAAGACAAAAGCTAAAAGTAATAGTTACCAATGTAGATTATGATCTTATAACACAATCCTCCAGCATTGCAAAATCAGCAACTTTCAAAAAGTCAAAAATAGTCAAATCAAAAGGTTCGACAAATTATTAGAAGAGAAATCTTCATCTCAGAATGATGAAGTCAACAATCCAAAGTCAACGGCGATCGATAAATCAAAGTGGGTTATCAATCTCTGAACACATATATTAAGTCCTACGGAAATAAGTGTATTGGAAAAGGGACTAAATTTCAATGTATCAGTAGACAAGCTGAAACCTGAGGATATCATCCCTAAAATAGAAATAGCACTAAGTGGGATTGACGAAGCTACGGCTGATGAAGTACGGGCACAATGTGCACTGACATTAAAACGACAAAAATGGGTGAAAGCCTAACCTGACAAAACAAGAGATAGAAGCCCTGAAACACCTTAGGAATAACAAGGATATAGTCATCACAAAGTCAGACAAAGGAAATGCAACAGTAGTATTAGACAAATCAGACTATTTGGACAAGGTAAATACTCACATACAAACAGGACCATATGAGGAAATTAATAAACCAATAGATACAGTTATGAATAAAGTTAAGAAATCCACAGCGGACCTCATACGCCGAATGAAGCCGTTTCTAGGTGAGTCTAAGTGGTTTAATTTAATGCCCAAAACTAATAACCCCAGTAGGATGTATGGTGTTGTTAAAGTTCATAAGTCAGGATACCCTATTAGGCCTATAGTTGATTTTAGAAATTCACCTACTTATGAATTATCTAAATATTTAGCCATGGTATTAAATCCCCTAAAAATCCACTCGAAATCTAGACTAACTAATTCTTATGAACTAAAACATAGATTAGATAATTTAAAATTAGATAATGAAGAAAAAATGGTTAGTTTTGACATTGTCAGTTTATACACACGTATACCAATAAATATGGCTATGGAAGCAGTCAGAAACGAACTCATTTCTGACCAAGACCTCGAACTTAGGACAAAAGTGCCACTTGAGGACATAATGCTGGGAGTATATCTATGCCTGACTTCCACAGTATTTAAATTCCAAGGGAAAATGTACAAACAAACTGAGGGAGTTGCCATGGGATCACCAATATCCCCAGTGGTAGCAGATATATTCATGAATAAGTGGGAAAGCATAGCGATTGAAACGTTCACCCCCACCCCAAAAGTATGGTGGAGGTACGTAGATGACACATTCACTGTACTTAGAACACAAGATATAGATAGGTTTTTCGAACACATAAACTCGAAGGTTGAAGCAATTCAATTCACTTATGAATTGGAAATTCAGGAAGGGGAGCTCCCAATGTTAGATTGCAATGTAAAGAGGAAAGAAGATGGGAAGTTAAACACTAGTGTTTACAGGAAACCCACACACTCAAACAGATATTTGGACTTCCAATCATCCCATCCTATGTCAGTGAAAATAGGATTGGTGGAATGTTTAAATGACAGAGCACAAAAATTAAGTAGTATCAAAGAAAATCTAAAACAGGAACTGATACATATAAAAGAGGCCTTGAAACTTAATAATTACCCGGATAAATTAGTCAGGAAATATGTAAGGAAATGTAAAAATAAAATAAATAATGATAGTAGCGATAGTGATAATAACAATAATAATGACAACGATAAAAGTGAAAATAATTTTGTTGGGGTATCCAATGAGAGGGTGAGAGAAAGAGAATACAGGTAGTCTTTTTCTGTTTTTCCGTTTTTGTCTCAGCTGAATCTCACAGACTACACTTCTGATCAGGTGTTGAGCAAAACTTAGTCTTAGTAAGGTCTCAGGTTTCAGTTATGGTCAATTTCGGTTATTTCATACTAACTGTCAGGCATTGTTGATAAATATTTTGTTAAACACGCTTTCTGGACACAAATTCTCTCCTCAACCCTGAACAAAATTCATTATCAATACTTAACTCCAGTCCTCTTCTCTCACGTGAATTTGTCACGTTCATGTGATCGGTGGAGTGAATGTCATTCGAGTACCCATTCTCTGGGGTCACCATGCTCTGACTCAGTGCAATATCACCCTTTCTAAATCACACTCTAATAACCTGCATTGTCCTACTTCATTTCTCCTTCACAGTCCACGGAAATATGTGATGACCATTTGGAAATCCGAGTCAGTACAGATAACCACGCAAAGACATCATTCGACAATGAAGCAACTATCAAGTACATCAAGTCAGACATGTTCTGATGAATAGGAGGAAATTAGGTGACCCACTGACCGAAGCTATATGTCAATTGCAAGCACATTGTTTTCGGTAGCTGAATGTAACCTAATCATGAAATACATTAGCAGTCAGTGTGACGTAATCAAGGTAAATTTAAGCTGAATAGCCGATTCATTATTTTGTGAGTAGAATTTCACCAGTTGTTAGTTGATGATTACGCAATTGTGTCACATGTCACTTAAACGAAAGTGGAAATGACCCGTGAGAAAAGTATGAGTCATCTGAACTGTTCATTCTATAACTGGTGTGTATTTTGAATAGGTTTAATTGGGCTTTATATACAAATCAATAATGACTTGAATAAATGTGAACTGTGTTCACTAAGATATTTCTATTCAATCTAACCTTGTCATTTGATTTGAATTCACCAAAAATAAATTAAAAGAAGGACAACAGCGTAGAATGAATCATTTTTTCAAAAGTCGGCGATGGACGATTTGCATTTCGCCTGTCAAATGTTATTAATTCTCTTGTTGGGGATTATATGATCGTACTCCTGAATGAATTTATTGAGGTGATGGAGGAAATCATGGACCCAGTTGGGAGGTAAGTCAGTGGAACTAATATGATATTCCTATATTAATAATATATCATATATTTTAAATATTTGTTTATCGTTCAGTGGTGTCATTTATATGATTGGAAAAGTGGATTAAAAACAAAATGTGCTTTTAATCCACTTTTCCAATCATATAAATGACACCATTGAACGTTAAACAAATATCATATTAGTTCCACTGACTTACCTCCCAACTGGGTCCATGATTTCCTCCATCACCTCAATAAATTCATTCAGGAGTACGATCATATAATCCCCAACAAGAGAATTAATAACATTTGACAGGCGAAATGCAAATCGTCCATCGCCGACTTTTGAAAAAATGATTCATTCTACGCTGTTGTCCTTCTTTTAATTTATTTTTGGTGAATTCAAATCAAATGACAAGGTTAGATTGAATAGAAATATCTTAGTGAACACAGTTCACATTTATTCAAGTCATTATTGATTTGTATATAAAGCCCAATTAAACCTATTCAAAATACACACCAGTTATAGAATGAACAGTTCAGATGACTCATACTTTTCTCACGGGTCATTTCCACTTTCGTTTAAGTGACA